CCATCAGGCCTCTAGAGGTCACCAGTGGATCTTGATGGAAGGTAGCCACTGCTAGGTATTTCTCCAATCCCTGCAATACATCACTTGAAAGTCTCCCACAGGATGGTAAAACATCTTAGTGTCCCCTGGGCAACGCCCTTGCAGACAGCCAATTATCTCACACCAGAAGCAACTTAAACTTTCTCAAGTTGCTCCTGACATGGAGAGGGAAAAACCTCCCCACCTAGTTTTGAAAATCTTATGAATGACACCAGTTGGGAACCTCTCAAGGCTGGTAAGTTCGTCAACCTTGGTGTGATGGAGGAATATGGCTTTGGCCTGACAGAGGGGTGCAGGACTGTGTTTATATGCACAATTCTATCTTGCCATTTAACAACAACAACAACAATAGAGGCATAACACAGTTGCTCAGATGATTCATTGGAACTTGTGTCACAAGCACCATCTTCCAGTGACAAAGAACTGTTGGGATCACAAGCCTGAAAAGGTTACAGAAAATGAACACGTCAAACTACTTTGGGACTTCCAAATTCAGACTGACAGAGTTTTGGAGCACAATACTCCTGACCTCACGATCATGTTAAAAAACTAAGTATGGGTCGTCAATGTTGTGATTCCAGGCGACAGCAGGATTGAAGAGAAACAACTGGAAAAGCTGGCACGWTATGAGGATTTAAAGATCGAACTGCAAAGACTCTGGCACRAGCCAGTCAAGGTGGTCCCAGTGGTGATTGGCATACTGGGTGCAGTGCCTAAAGACCTTGGCCTGCACTTGAACACAATCAGTGTTGACAAAATTACCATCTGTCAGCTGCAAAAGGCCACCCTACTGTAATCTGCATGCATTATTCRCTGATACATCACARTCCTAKACACTTGGGAAGTGTCCRACATGTGATCCAATRCAACAGCCAGCATAGTGATCATTTGCTGTGTMCTAATCTTGTTATGTTTCTAATAATAATAATAATAATAATAATAATAATAATAATAATAAYAAAACTTTATTCTTACATCCCGCCTCCATCTCCGTGAAAGGACTTAGGGCATCTTACATGGCGACCAAGTCCAATATAAACAAAGTTTACTGGTGGTGCAGAGGATTAAACTGCTGAGCTGCTGAACTTGCTGACTGAGAGATCAGCAGTTCAAATCTGGGGAACGGGGTGAGCTCCCACTGTTAGTCCCAGCTTCTGCCAACCTAGAAGTTCAAAAAAACATGCAAATGTGGGTAGATGAATAGGTATCACTCCGGCGGGAAGGTAACGGCGCTCCATACAGTCATGCCAGCCACATGACCTTGGATGTGTCTACGGACAATGCAGGCTCTTTGGCTTAGAAATGGAGATGAGCATCAACCCCCAGAGTCGGACATGACTAGACTTAATGTCAGGGGAAAACCTTTACCTACAAAATAACACAATTTAAAACATATAACAATAAATATATATTAAAACAATAACAGGAATAGAATGTAAGACATCATAAAACATGAGCCAAACATCAAACAACCAGAAGCCAAGAAAAGTGGGCATATGCAGATTTCAGACTAATAGGGCAGGGCAAGGGCTTGTGCAAATGCAGACTGTAGGGCCAGGACTGGAAATAAAGTGCTGGAGATCCAACCAGAAAATTAGGGCTAGGCAGACTTAATCAGTAGCTAAACCAATCAATGCACACCTCAATTTTGGCTATGTAATTCATCCAAAAAAGTTATGCATTAGACTCAAGTAAATATGGTGCAGTACACAATAAGCAACAATGGATCTGCTTTTATACTGAAATGATACAGGATATATATTAAACCGCTGAGCTGCTAAACTTGTTGACCAAAAGGTCGCAGGTTTGAATCCAGGGAGCGGTGTGAGCTCCCACTGTCAGCCCCAGCTGCTGCCAACCTAGCAGTTCAAAAACATGGAAATGTAAGTAGATCAATAGGTACCGCTCTGGCAGGAAGGTAACAGCGCTCCATGCAGTCATGCCAGCCACATGACCTTGTAGGTGTCTATGGACAACGCCAGCTCTTTGGCTTAGAAATGGAGATGAGCACCTACCCCAAGAGTCAGACATGACTAGACTCAATGTTTACCTTTACCTTATATTGAAATGTGTCAGTGGTCAGATTTGCACCACTGTTCTAATAATATAAAAATGGAATTTTTAGTTTAAATTACTGAATGTCTTTCCTTGTCAACATGTAACAGTGCTTAAGACCAATCACTTATATATATAGGAAGTATTCTCTGTGTGCCTTTTAATGAAATAATCCATTTTTATCTGTCTTTTTTTCCAGACCAAAAGTGCCAATAATGCTGGAGATGGCAGAGCTGCTCGGCAATACTCCACCCTAGCACTTGCCTTTGCCCACACAGCGCTTGGTGTCGGCATCCTGATCATAATACTTGGGAATATCTTGAGACTAATACTTGCAAAGAGATCCCCTCAGTACAATCCCTAATAAGAATGCAGTAGAATTGGAGAAATCCTGGTCTGACTTTATTCTTTTACAATCTATACAAAAAGGGAAGTCCTGTGGGTTGAGTCAGACGGTATGCGATTTGTATAATTAGCTTGCGGATAATATATGTGAAATAAAATGTGCCATTTGAACTGATATTATTGCACTATGAAAGTTTTGTCTAGGATTTATTAAGGGCTTGGAAAAGTTACTTTGTGGAACATAGTCCTAGCGCCCTTCCATACAGCCCTATGTCCCAGAATATCAAGGCAGTCAATGTCACATTATCTGGTTTGAACTGGAATATATGGCAGTGTGGACTCAGATAATCCAGTTCAAAGCAGATATTGTGGGTTTATTTAGCACCGGGATTGTGGCGCAGCTGACTGAGTGTCAGCTGCATTAAGATCACTCTGACCAAAAGGTCATGAGTTCGAAGCCAGCCCGGGCTGGAGTGGGTGTCCAGCCATTGTGTAGCCTGTTGTCGACCTTTGCAACCCGAAAGACAGTTGCATCTGTCAAGTAGGAAAATAAGGCACCACCTTGTGTGGGAGGCTAAATTTAACTAATTTATGAGGCCATAAAGAAAGAAGACTCCGGGGAATGTGGAATGCGGAAGAACTTCATCGGTGTCGTTGATGGACGATGAAAAGCAGCAGCTCCCCTGGCGGCCAGAAAAAAAAAAAAAGTTAAATAGCCTTTGTCTGTTAAATGTTGTTTGTCAAACTGGCATTGAATGTTTGCCATATATGTGTTTACTGTAATCCGCCCTGAGTCCCCTGCGGGGTGAGAAGGGCGGAATATAAGAACTGTAAATAAATAATAATAAATATCTGCCTTGATATTCTGGGTTATATGGCTGTATGGAAGGGTATCTAGAATCCCACAGCTATGATTCTAGAAACAAGCGTTTGAATCCCACTTGGCCATGGAAACCCTGGATAAGTCACACTGTCTCAGGGCCCTTCTACACTGCTATATAATCCAGAATATTTATTTATTTATTTATTTATTTATTTATTTATTTATTTATTTATTTTGGGCATTTTTATCCCATCCTTCTCAACCTTCACAGAGGGCCTCAGAATGGCTACCAATCAGCACAGTACCGTGCCCAAACACAACAAAGCAGAATATAAAAACACATGTTATAAGAAAACAACTTGCCAATTTCATCCTAAAAGCAGTCCGTCAAAGTCCATTAACTAATGTCTATACCAGCAAATCAGTCTATTCTGGAAACGCCTGATCCCACAACCAGGACTTCAGTTTCTTCCAGAAGGTCAGGAGTGTTGGAGCAGATCTGATCTTGTTCGGAAGGGAGTTCCACAGCCAAGGGGCTACCACCAAAAAGGCCCTGTCTCTCGTTCCCGCCAAGCGCGACTGCAGACCCTGGAGCTGCAAGCAAGGAAACTGGAGCACAGAAGCACTAAGTAGAATGGTTGCTGCCAGCATTGTCCACTTTCTTTACTGCCGATTTATAGCCCTCAGCTCCCAGCACAGGTGTTTTAAGGCAAGGTCTGATTGCTCAGCTTCCTTGCAGCAATTCTAGTTAACCTTCTTCTTTTAACAGCAGGATTAACAAGAAGCAACTAGAATAGCTGACATGATACAAGGATTTATAGATCAAACTGCAAAGACTCTGGCACAAGCCAGTCAAGGTGGTCCCAGTGGTGATCGGCACACTGGGTGCAGTGCCTAAAGACCTTGGCCTGCACTTAAACACAATTGACACTGACAAAATTATCGTCTGTCAGCTGCAAAAGGCCACCCTACTGGGATCTGCACGCATTATTCGCCGATACATCACACAGTCCTAGACACTTGGGGGAAGTGTTTGACATGTGATCCAATTCAACAGCCAGCAAAGTGATGTTGTTTGCTGTGTACTACTCTTGTTGTGTTAATAATAATAATAATAATAATAATAATAAGAAGAAGAAGAAGAAGAAGAAGAAGAAGAAGAAGAAGAAAATAGGATGTACCAGAATGGTATGACAATCTACTGGTGTACTAATCTTGTTGTGTTTCTGATGATGATGATGATGATGATGATAAAATAGGATGTACCAGAATGGTATGACAATCTACTGGTGTACTAATCTTGTTGTGTTTCTAATGATGATGATGATGATGATGATGATGATGATGATGATGATGTACCAGAATGGTATGAGAATCTACTGGGAAAATTCTTATTGTCTCTTTTTCTTATAATTTCTGTAATATGATTGTGAAATGATATTATCCACTTATACAACTTAATAAATTATTTTTTTAAACATGGGAGGGAAAAGAGAAAACTGGGTGGAAAGCTACTAGATGCAATTCAACAGAGACAAATGCAAAGTCCTTTATGAGGGACAAACATAATAATCAAATGCCCATGAGTCAGCAGTATACTGCAAAAAAATAAGAATAATGTGATTATTGGCACTCTCAACAGAATTCCAAATCTCGCCAAGTGATATTTCTAATTTATTGTGCACTCTCATTAGAGTTCCTTACCACAGCACCAACGTCTAGTGTATGCATGCCTAGACTCTTGATAGCTCTCTTTCCACCCATTTCTTCTTCTGCACTGTAAGACACTATGAGGCCACTCTGTCCAAGTTCCAAAACAACCGATGTCAGCCCCTAAATCAAATAAGCAGAGAAAGAGAGCAGCCACATTACAAGACAAGTCTCTCTAGCCAAAAGAAGATTCAAAGTAATTGGCTGATGACCGTTGAAGGAAGAAGGCAAAAAGTGAAAAACAGAGAGGGAGCAAAATGCTCAGGAATTAACTGTAGTCATAGGTGAAAGTGGGAAAACGTAGAAAGAAGGATAACTGGCTTTCAAACACCTGCAGATTGAGAGAGAGCGGAGGACAACATACTGGCATAATGAGCAGCCTGGACTATGGGGAGATGACAGCAAATGCTCCTGCAACAGATGAGCCAATTCCTTTCTCAGAAACACAGCCCTACCAAGAGTCTGACCCACTGAAGCTTCCTGTTAGATCACCCCCACCCAGTGGCTATGGGGCAGCCCCACCACCCCCATCATACCAATCTTCTTATGGGCCACCTGATGCACAGTTCAGCCAAGGACCAGACTTCCAGTCTCAGCAGACCATCTTCATCACACCTGAGCAACCTACCAAGGAACCAGATAACCTGATCTTCTCCATCTTTACTATGCTTTGCTGTTTCTTCCCCTTGGGTATTGCTGCCTTAGTTTTCTCTATAAAGGTAAGCCTAAATGTTTCTGGGTATTGAAGTAATTGACAATGTTATAATAATAGAATGTTGTCTTATCAAGATGAGGTATTTTATAGATAATGCAAAGATCTAAGGCTACAGCAGCATTTCTCAACCTGGTGGTCAGGACCCCTGGGGGGGTCACAAGGGGGTATCAAAGGGGTCACCAAAGGACCATCAGAAAACACAATATTTTCTGTTAGTTATGTGGGTTCTGTGTGTAAAGCTTGGCCCAATTTTATTGGTGGGGTTCAGAATGCATTTTGAGTTTAGGTGAACTATAAATCCCAGAAACTACACTCCCAAATGTCAAGGTCTATTTTCCCCAAACTCCACTGGTATTTGTATTCGGGCATATTGAGTATCCGTGCCAAGTCTGAAACAGATCCATTATTGTTTGAATCCACAGTGCTCTCTGGATGTAGGTGAACTACAACTCCAAAACTGAAGATCAATGCCCACTAAATCCATACAGTATTTTCAATTGGTCATAGTTCTGTGTGCCAAGTTTGGTTCAATTCCATTGTTGGTGGAGTTTGGAATGCTCTTTGATTGTAAGTTGACTATAAATCCCTGTAACTACAACTCCCAAATGACAAAATCATCCCCCACCCCAACCCACCAGTATTCTAATTTGAGCATATCAGATATTTGTAAGAAATTTCATCCAGTGAATGAAAATGCATCCTGCATATCAGATACTGACATTACAATTCATAACAGTAGCAAAATTACAGTTATGCAGTAGCAACAAAAATAATTTTATGGTTAGAGGTCACCACAACACAAGGAACTGTATTAAGGTTTCACTGCATAGGAAGGTTGAGAAACACCTATCTAAAGCTACAGAAAGATGGCACTTTAATATTTTATTAGAGTATTTTAATGAAGAGAGTGTCTCATAGCACTTTAACAATCACACTAACAGTAGTATCCACCTGAATTGCCAGAACATTATTGCAAACAGGAGGGAGGGGTGCACCAAATAACATGTTACAGAGGAGTAACATGTCAAAGAAATTGTCTGTCTTACTTCTTGGCAAGATGACTGTCTGTATCCTCTTGTCAAGCAGTAAGAAGTATTGTTCCTTTCCTTTGGATTTTTGGGACGGTTTTCCACTTGACACAGTTCACTAGCCACAGATTACTTAATGTGCAAATCTTTGTCTCCATGTTCAGTGCATTGAGGTGACCATTATGTAAGGAGGGTTTGGGAGCTACAGAGCCTCATCATTGGCAATGTTACAGTTTCGGCATTTATTGTGTCCCCAAGAATACGCCCATAAGATATCAACAGACCAGTTCTAGCATTTTCCCTCTTCATCAGAAATGAACCTGTTGTAAAGATAATGGCTCGTAATGGTCCAGTCAAGGCCAAGCACTTTGCTTAGTAATGAACTTTTGCATTGTCATCACAGCTCAAAACAATGTTTATTAGAAAAGCCTATTTTAACAGTCCAGTCCCCAACTACTCTGAGAAGTGCAGCTAAATTTGTAGGGGACAGATTAGTGTTAGAGATGATGCAACTGATACCATTATCCCTGCTAAACCAATATGTCCAGCTTTTTGACCATGCATCCCTTGATTCCATGATCCCACTACAATCCCCATCTAGCAGCCATGCTCTCTGCTTGTTCAAGCACTGCATAAAAGGACTCAATACACTTGTTGATTTATTTATTTATTAAAATACAAACTGGGCACATCTTATTCCAAATTCAGAAATCCAAAATGCCAAAGATGTCTGTGTGGATGCCCAAGATAATGGCAATATTGTTTCCTAGGGGTTCAGTGTACCCAAGCTTTGTTTCATTTACAACAATGTTTAAAAGCAATGCTTTTGGTTTTGGAAAGAGTAGCTGTTACAAGAAACGTTGCCCAGGGGATGCCCGACTGTATTTACTCAGTCTTCGAGGAGGCTCTTTCCATGTCTCCCAGATGAAGATGCAGAATGCACCTGTTGATAAACTCTACAAGCTAGCTGGCAATGTCGATGTGCAATAGGAAGTTGGTGCTAATTGTGAGAGAAATAAGGTTGAAAACTATGAAAGCTACCCACTGCATGGTTATCAGCCTCCTCCCAGTAGACTCAAATCAAGGGAAAGCTTCATGAGAACCACCACTCCTCTTAACGTCCCCTCAACAACAAGAGTATCCCTCTCAACAGCTCAACCAGGAAATCCCAGTTGAATGCCCCCCATGAGGGTATTCCTCATCGGAAAACCAAGAATAGGCAACTTGGTAGTCCCTGAACAGACTCAGAAGCAGAGTGGGCAGATCAAAAGACATCCTGGCAAAACGGCACTACCTAAAAGAATCCCCCACCTCGTGTGGCTGTGGAGCAGAACAGACAACTCTGCATCTGTATGCCTGTCCACTATGCCCTGCCTCATGTACAGAGGAAGAATTATTGGAGAATACAGACAATGCCATTGCTGTTGCCCATTTTTGGTCAAAAGATATTTAGCCGTTTGTGCTCCTTCTATTTTTATCAGTTTTATACTAATTTATGCAATGCTTTTTATATGAAATAAATAAATAAATGTGCAACAATATGGTAAAAGCTGTGTATAAAATTACCTTCAGACTTTGTGTATAAAGTTGATTTGAAATATAAATGCAGGCTGCCCATGTTGGTGAGACCCCAACATGGGAAGCAGGCATGTAGCCAGGGGGGGGGGCTCGGGGGGCTTCAGCCCCCCCCCGAAATTCTCATGGTGGTTCACGAAAAGGCCTTACTGGTGCATTATTTAAACTGTTATGTTTATTCATATCATGATCTGATCACCATACTCAATATATCCCATATGCATGGGGGTATTGGGGTAATGATACAAAAGGTTTGCTAGGCTAGACCCTCTTTCACTCAGACTCAGCCCCCCCCCAAAACTCAGCCCCCCCGACCCCCCACCCGAAATTTTTTTAGCCCCCCCCCCTCGAAATGAAATCCTGGCTACGGGCCTGATGGGAAGCCTCCTGTATTGGGAGGAAAGCGTCCAGTGATGGGCTGGGCTTAAGCACAGCAGGTTAAACCACCAGCTATAGAAAATCTTGCCAATCAAAAGGTTGACAGTTTAAGTCTGGATCAGGGTGAGTTTCTACCATCAGCCCAGATTCTGCCCACCTAGCAGACTGAAAACAGTTATGTGAGTAGATTAAAAGGTACCGCTTTTAGTGGGGAGATAATAAAAAGGTACTCATAAGAACATTCTGGCAATTTGATTGGAAGGATGTCTACAGACAACAAAGCTCCTTCACGTGGAAGATGGAGCGACAGCACCACCCCGTGACCAGAGTCGAGCACAGTCTCCAGATGCCGGAGATTTATTATTTATTTATTTAAAGCATTTATATTCTTCCCTTCTCACACTGAAGGGGACTCAGGGTGGAGCACAACACATAAATGGCAAACATTCAATGCCAGGAGATAAATAGAACATACTCATACATGAACATTATGTGATGTTGGAAAAGATGGGAAAGCCTACCTCTGTTTATATATTGTCTGTCCTTGTTAATAATGGCAATTAATGTTTGCCGTATATGTGTTCTATAATCCGCCCTGAGTCCTCTTGTAGAGATAGAGCGGAATATAAATCAAGTATATATTAGATAACATGGCACTAAATTCACCCCATCTGATGAGGTCATACGTAGACAGTGTAGAATATAGGAGGTCATTATTACAAATTTCACTATCACAAAAGACAAATAAACAGGACAGCAGAAGATGCTGAATCAGTTAATGGCTAGGAAATGTCAAAGTGATGTAAGTCAGATAGCATGATTGTCAGGGCTTGACTGGTGTATCACAGAGGGGAGGTTGCAGCTACAATTTTTGCAGTTACCTGCCACTTCTCTCTTTCTTTCTCTGCAGACCCAGGTAGCCAATAATAATGGAAATGTCCAATCTGCTCAAAAGAATTCCAGGCTTTCAATCATCATGGCCCGTGCAGCTCTTGGATTGGGAATCGTGGTCTGGATTTTGTATATCATCATTTTGACTGTATGATGCAACACTCTTAATCCAAAAGTTAACCCCTCCACAATGAGCCACTCAAGGAAACATGCTTTGATGTCATCCTCTTTAGATCACTCCATAAAGAGATGGTTCAGATAACCCCCTTCGCATGTGGCCATGGAAAATGCACAGTGCAAAGCATTGTATTTGCAAGCTGTCTAAAACTCTGCTTAGCAATGGCCCATCTGTATCATATGATGAATATTAGATGAGATCTAGTGCTGTGCTGCAAAATTATCGTATGCCAGGTCAACAAAAGCCCAAGGATCATATATGAAAAACAAACCTCTGTAATGACTACACAATGTCCATACATTCAACAGGATTAACTTCTCTATTTTAATGTTGTCGATAATAAAATTCCATCAATAGATTGGGATGGATTCTTTCCAGGGGTAGCTCTGCAATCTCTTTCTTTACCCAGGTATTCTTTCTATTGTTGAACCCTCTTCCGTCCTCTCTTTTGATCCAGCTGCCTTTGAACCCTGCCTTTCATTGGTCCCATATTTGCCAGTGTATCACATATGCTAACATATGTGAAATTATGTGATACATAATTTCTTAAGTCTGTACTATGAAAGTGATTGGCCAATACAGAATGACAGTCTTCAGTTCAAGCAGAGTTGTAGCCAGAGTGTCACTGCACACCAATGCCCATTTATGCATAGAAGTGCATTGTGCATTACACATGAACCACACAAATGTTTGTGCATTTGATTGCAACTTGGTGACTTGATTGCAGTTTGGTACCATTGTACACAAGGATGGGGTGACACAATTAACATATAACTATGCATATGTAAATATACACTGAAAAAGCCCAATACATGAACTCAGCCACTTCTATATGTTCTATGTTCTTATCTTCAGAACACAAATTGTTAACTAAGTTTTGCCCAACTTTAACCATTGAGATTTTGCACAACTTTTATTGGGATCACTTATCCTGTAAGGGATTGTTTTCAATCTTGAGATTGTGATTTCCATTTTAATAGAAAGATCTATGAGGGAAACATCATTGCTCTCCAACCTATGTTCAGCAGTTCAAAATGCATGTTGAATGGCAGACTGCCTGCTATAGGACAGGGTTACTGTATATACTTGAATATAAGCCGAGTTTTTCAGCCCTTTTTTAGACTGAAAAAGCCCCCCTCAGCTTATACTCGCGTAATTTATTATTTTACATTATTATTATTATTATTATTATTATTATTATTATTATTACATTTAAATCATTTTCTATTATTATTTTTCATTACATTTATTTATTTATTTATTTATTTATTACATTTAACCCATTGCCCCGATGGCGCAATGGATTAAACCCTTGTGCTGGCAGAACTGAAGACCAATAGGTCGGAAGTTCAAATCTGGGGAAAGGGTGGATGAGCTCCCTCTGTCAGCTCCAGATCCCCACGTGCAAACATGAGAGAAGCCTCCCACAAGGATAGTAAAACATCAAAACATCCAGGTGTCCCCTAGGCAACGTCCTTGCAGACCGCCAAATCTCTTACACCAGAAGCGACTTGCAGTTTCTCAAGTTGCTCCTGACACATAAAAAATTATTACATTTATTATTTTACTCTATTTATTATTGTTATTATTACATTTATTATTTTCCACTATTACTATTATTACATTTCTATTATTTTTATTACATTTATTTTTTAACTCTATTATTATTGGAAGGATATGTAAGCACATTTACATTGAAGAAAGGTAGAATAATGGTGTAATCAGAGTTGGATGGTCTTATCTTAAATTACAGTTTTATGTAAATATTCAAAAAAATATTTATTTATTTATTTATTTATTTATTTATTTAAAACTTTTGTATCCCGATCTTCTCTACCTCTGTGGAGGGACTCAGACCGGCTAACAGCAAGTATTCAATGCTCACAAACAGACCTTTAAAACATCATATATAAACAATAAGTTAAAAATACATATCAAAAAAACGCATAAGGTTAAATGCATAATGTAATTTTATTAGCATCTGTTTTTATTTTGAAATTTACCAGTAGCTGCTGCATTTCCCACCCTTGGCTTATACTCAAGTCAATACATTTCCCCCAGATTTTGTGGTAAAATTGGATGCCCTGATTTATATTTGGGTCAGCTTATACTTGAGTATATACAGTACTGAACATTGACACTTGTGCCTTTTGCTCCTAATCTTTTGCTTGAATGTGACTGCAGTGGCTTTGTGATGTGAAGCAAATAAAAATTACATGGCTACAGCATGTTAATGTATGGTTTATTCTTCTGCTAATTCCTCTAGTCACTGGCATTGGGAATGGAAAACAGAATAAAGGTGCTAAAAGCAAAATGAAGGAATACATCTGATGACAGCCATTTATTAGTATAGTGATCATTGCAGATTTTAAAAAATCAGAGATTTATTCTAACATGAGTACATCCTAATATTGCAGTGGTTCTCAGCTTGTGGGTCCCCAGATGTTTTGTCCTTCAACTCCCAGAAATCCTAGCAGCTGGTAAACTGGCTGGGATTTCTGGCAGTTGTAGTGTGCCGTCGCGCTTGGGGGCTATTATTCTTAATGAAGGAGGGATGGACGTGGCATCTTTCCCCCAAGGGATTGCTTCTTGCCCTCCTATAGGAAACTGGAACTCTCAAAAACCCAAAACGCTGTAAACAACTCAAAATAAGTTTTATTGATCACAAAGAGTTATTTCTTTAAAGCAATGAGCTGGAAACTTCAGAGGGGTGAAGGAAAATATACGTTACAGTCTCAATTAGTCCTGGGTCCAAGGTGTTTGAAGCTGAGAAGCCTCACCAAGTTTCCTCTTTCCTCAATGGCTGTGAATGCCGGAGCAAACCACAACCCCAGTTCAGATGGCCTATGTTTTGAAGACTCAGGATCTTCCTTTGGTGCCAAAAGAACCAGTTTGAAGGCGCTTGAGACTTCCAACGTCGTTCAGGTTGGTCTGAACATGAAGCACAAGTCTCAAGGGTAAAAAACCTCAGAACTGGTGCTAAGAGGTAACTTAAATCAGGGTCTTTTAGAGTCAAGTCTCTTACGTCCATATGGTAGGAACTCTGATGGCAGAATGAAAAAAAAGGAAGCACTCCCCTCCTGCAGGAAGAGGTGGAGCCAAACAGTACTGATTGACAGCTACAAGCAACCAATCCATACAACTATACATAAGCAGGGTAAAAAGGGGCAGGATTAAGCATGATACAACAGTTTCAATCTTGCAACTAACAGTTCTATACATAGGTGGCGCCACTCGCGCCGTCACATGTAGGTCAAAACACCCAGGGGCCCACAGGTTGAGAACCACTGAAATATTGAGAACCAGTATGGTGTAGTCATTTGAGGAATGGGCTATGAGTCTAGAGACCTTTGAAAACTCACTGAGTAGTTTTAGGGGAGTCACACATAGCTCCATACTATGCAGTCCTGGGAGTTATAATTTCCCAAGGTCCACATCCTTCACTGGGTGCATCTGCACTGGAGAATAAATGCAGTCAGGACCCACTTTAAATGGCATTATTATTATTATTATTATTATTATTATTATTATTATGTCATGTCTCCATGCTGTGCAGTCCTGGGAGTCATTCCAAGGTCCATACCCTTCTCTGGGTGCAACCTCACTGTGAAATGAATGCAGCTGGACCTTTCTTTAAATACCATAGCTCCATACTATGCAGTCCTGGAAGTTATAGTTTACCAATGTTTCGCTGGGTGCATCTTTCGCTGGGTGCATCTGCACTGGAGAATGTCGGGACCCACTTTAAATTGCATTATTATTATTATTATTATTATTATTATTATTATTATTATTCCATGTCTCCATGCTGTGCAGTCCTGAGAATCATAGTTTTCCAAGGTCCATACCCTTCTCTGGGTGCAACTACACTGTGAAATGAATGCAGCTGGACCTTTCTTTAAATACCATACCTCCATACGATGCAATCCTGGGAGTCATAGTTTTCTAAGGTCCATACCTTTCTCTGGGTGCAACTACACTGTGAAATGAATGCAGCTGGACCTTTCTTTAAATACCATAGTTCCATACTATGCAGTCCTGGGAGTTATAGTTTTCCAAGGTCCACACCTTGGGGCACATCAACACAATCACCATAATCAACTTGCATTCTCTGATGAATCTCCTTTGGGGGGACACCTTCTGCTGTCAGGAATTCAATGACTGCATGTTGCTTAAGTCGCATTGACCGACTGTCCATACTTTGCACTTTAATAACACAACCGTTCAATGTGAAGGCTCCCTGCCAAAATGGAACTGTAGAGGAGAGTCTACTAAACAAGCCAGTACCTGCCGCATACCAGTACTGTCATCTGTTGAGGAGTTACAAAGGTGGAGGCATTACTTTTCATTCAACCCTCGTATTAACTATTTAAAATTGGGGGAAATGGCCAGAAGAGATGATGTTGGCTGAAAAACTGGGGGATGGCAAGATCTTTTACATGCAATGAGAGTATTTGTTCAAAAGGAGCGGAACAGAAGAATATTAATGGACCACAAGGGAAAGCCAAATATCCATTACATTAATGGCTTGGCTAGCACTTGTCCACTTATTTTTTGTTTCAATAGCAAACATAATGGAGCAATTGCCACTGGAGATGCAGTCTAGAGCATTCAACCCTTCCCGTCCCTGTCATCTTCCCAATGAATAATACCTTCCCTCGCCCTAAACACAATTAACACTCGCTGGGAAAGGTTGACATTCAATGGAAGATTTCAGCATGAAGAGGGAGAAGTTTTGTCGGAATTGTCACAAGCATAAAGCTTCCTTCCAAACTCTGCGTCATCCAGCTCAAAAGTGTGAGCTCGTATATTTAAAAAGCCAGACAGACTCCAAGTCAATCAATTAGACTAATGTTTATTTTGACCTGAATGGACATATTGATGCAAGTCATTGTAATTCACTCCAATAAATTCCAGATTCTGCACTACATCAAATATTTGTCTGAGGAGCTTGCCTTGTCTGATCAACTCTAATGCCCTGATGAAGTCATTGCCATCTTTCCGGGGCTGGTCACTGGCACCAAAATATAGTCTAAGGGCAACATAATGTTTTTCTTCTTTTAATTATGATAGAATCATAGATTCATGGAGTTGGAAGAGACCTTGTGGGCCATCCAGTCCAAGAAGCAGGAAAATCACATTCAAAGTACCTCCCAACAGATGGCCAGCCTCTGCTTAAAAGCCTCCAAAGAAGGAGCCTCCACTACAGTCTGGAGCAGAGAGTTCCACTGCTGAACAGCTCTTCTTGCAGTCAGGGAGTTCTTCCGAATGTTCAGGATTGTTCCACGTACTAGTATAAAAACATGCAAAATAAATGCTGGAATGTGAAACTCAAGAGAGCACGTTCTACCATATGTGGTGGACATGTAGTAAAACAAAGAAATGCTGGAAAGAAATTCAAGAAGCGTCCCAAAAAATACTCAACATTAAAATACAATTGAAACCAGAATATTTTTATTGGGGATAATAGATATCTATATAAATAAAAATGTAATGTTCGTTTGTGGGATCAACATAACTCAAAAACCTCTGGACGAAGTGTAACCAAATTTGGCCACAAGACACCTACTAACCCAAGGAGTGACCATCACTAAAAAAAATTGATTTTGTCATTTGGGAGTTGCAGATGCTGGGATTTATAGAACACCTACAATGAAAGAGCATTCTGAACTCCACCAATGATGGAATTGAACCAAATGCGGCACACACAGAACTCCCATGACCCACAGAAAACACTAGAAGGGTTTGGTGGGCATTGACCTTGAGTTTGGAAATTGTAGTTCACCTACATCCAGAGAGCATTTTGGACTCAGACAATGATGGATCTGGACAAAACTTGGCAAGAATATTCCATATACCCAAATATGAACACAGATGGAGTTTGGGGAAAATAGACCTTGACATTTGGAAGTTATAGTTACTGGGATTTATAGTTCATCTACAATCAACGTGACTGGAGTGACCTTGAAGGAGCTGGGGGTGGTGACAGCCGACAGGGAGCTCTGGCATGGGCTGGTCCATGAAGTAACGAACAGTCGGAAATGACTGAACGAATGAACAACAACAAAACAATCAAAGAGCATTCTGAACCCCACCAACGACAGAATTGGGCAAATTTCCCACACAGAACCCCCATGACCATCAGAAAATACTAAAAGCCATCCAGTCCAACTCCCTTCACCAGGGCAAGAAAACTTAATCAAAGCCCTCCTGACAAAGAGCCATCCAGCCATAGATATAGATATATATGATTCACACACAGAGAGATATAGTATCATAGATTTGAAAGGGACCCCTAAAGAAGGACAATTATATGTTGCAGAGTAGGCAAACCAGACAATCTCCACATCAACACTGACAAAGATACAGCAAGAAGTACTGTGTTTACCCACAAGCATAAAGACATTACATATATTAGAAACCAACACTTTCTCATTACTTTATTTTCCAGATCACAGACTGGGCCACAGCAACGCGTGGCAGGGGACGGCTAGTATCATAGAATCATGGAGTTGGAAGAGACCTCATGGACCATCCAGTCCAACCCCTTGCCAAGAAGCAGGACAATCGCATTCAAAGCACCCCCAATGGATAGCCATCCAGCCTCTGTTTAAAAGCCTCCAAAGAAGGAGCCTCCAGCACACTCCGGGGCAGAGAGTTCCACCGCTGAACAGCTCTCACAGTCAGGAAATTCTTCCTTTGTTTGTATGTATTCCTATGAGAATAGATACAAACAAAGACAAACATACATCCTCATTGGCCATCAATAAACTTCCACTTTCTAGCGTATCTGTGTCTGATTTGGCCTTCTGAATAAGCTAGGCATGCCGGGTTTCTGAACCCACAGTGCAGCAGTAGCTGATATCACTCAACAACAAGTCCATTGCCAACGTCGAGCACTTTGTTAAATGAAAATGGCTGCCTTCTTGCTGCAGTACCCACACCCAATGCCAATCTATATCCCTTTGGCCTCATCCAATATTTGGCTGATTCCTCATTCCATTGCACAATATATGAGAATCTCTTAATCACATCAGCAGTGTGGCCAGAGCTAGCCAATTTGTCAGGCAAGCAACTCAAGTAAAAAAGAAGGTTCAGAATGGTCGGTTGAGATAGCAAAAGGAGGAACGTGAAAGGTAGGGAACAAAGAGGGAGAAAGACACTTAGTAGCTCATTGTCTATCCTGGAAAGCTAAGAAAGATCATCCTTAAAGAACTGGAAAGAAGCAGAGAAGACCAGACCTTCAGAATGAGCAACCATAACTATGAGGAGATGAAAGGCACTGCTTCTGTTACAGACCATCCAAGCTCTCACTCAGAAAAACATTTCCACCAGGAGTCTGACTCACTAAAGCTTCCTCTTCGACCACCACCACCCATGAGCTATGGGACACCTACACCTCCATCATACCAATCTTCTTGTGGGCCACCTGATCCCCAACTCAGCCAAGGACCAGAGTTCCAGTCTCAGCAGGCCATCTTCATCACACCTGTCCAGCCTACCAAAGAGCCAGATAATGTGGTCTACTCCATCTTTACCCTGATGTGCTGTTTCCTTCCCCTTGGGATTGTTGCCTTAATTTATGCACTAAAGGTAAGCTGATATATTTATAAAACTGGAAGTAATGTATTAATGTTCTAGTAGAAGTGCATCTTAACTTTTTCAGTGTCCCTCTTAGCAACTGTTTTGTTTTTTTAATATGTTAGCAAAGACTAAACCAGGTGGGTGGAAACAGACAGAATTTTATGATTTGGTTAAGACAGCATTCCCTTCACAGATCAAACACTTCCCAACTGAAACACAGTTCCCTGTACTGTAACGGAGACACAATAAAGAAGAAAAAGATAAAACATGAGGTGGAGAATAGTTGAGATCAGTATTTATTCGAAACAAGCTGCCCGTAGGGCACACATAGCCAGCCAGTATAATACTTTGATATGCTTTGGGGTTTGGTCCCAAGATCCTCTGTGGATACCAAAATACATAAATGCTGAAATCCCATAACTTACCATATATACTCAAGTATAAGCTGAGTTTTTCAGCCCTGTTTTTAGGCTTATACTTGAGTCATTATTTTACTCTGTTATTATTATTATTATTATTACTTTATTATTACATTTATTATTTTACTCCATTTATTATTATTATTATATTTACATTATTTTACTCAATTATTATTATAATTATTATTATTATATACATTTATTATTTTATCTATTATTATTATTACATTTATTATTTCACTCTATTATTGTCCAACTCTGGGGGTGGGTAGTCATCTCCTTTTCTATGCCGAAGAGCCGATGTTGTCCGCAGACACATCCAAGGTCATGTGGCCGGCATGACTGCATGGAGCGCCATCAGAGGTGGCCCTAGGTAATTTTCAACGGTAAGCAAACAGTATTTTGGCGCCCCCCCCCCCCCCAACCAATCATTGATATATATTTTCTGTTTGTCGTGGGAGTTCTGTGTGCCATATTTGGTTCAATTCCATCATTGGTGGAGTTCAGAATGCTCTTTGATTGTAGGTGAACTATACATCCCAGTAACTACACTTGCCGCACTTGCTCCCTTGCCTGTCCCGCTTTGGGTCCGGAGGCGTGCCTGAAGACCCCGGCGTGTGCACCAAAAGTCACCTCTTCTCCTGACTTTCTCCTCAGCCATTGGGACCAAGAGAGAGAGAGAGAGAGAGAGGTGGAGATGCCCACCTTTCCTGAAGGTAGGCGCAAAAACAAAGGAGGGAGCGGAGGTGGGAGATACCTCCAGCTGGAGGGGCTCTCTCTCTCTCTCTCTCTCTCTTGGTCCCAATGGCTGAAGAGAAAGTCAGGAGAAGAGGTGACTTTTGGTGCGCACGCTGGGGTCTTCAGACACGCCTCCGGACCTGAAGCAGGCGAGGCACGCGTTCCGCCCCTTGGCCCACCCACAGATTGGGGAGGAGAGGAGGCGGTGGAGCGCGGGGGATCAGGAAAGGGAGCCGGTCATGGGGAAGGGATCGAACGCGGAGAACGATTGAGCGCCGGCTCTGCTCGTGCACCCGGTGGCCAGGTGGAGCAGGAACGAGAGGGGCTAGGCGAGGCTCAAGGGCCCGGCCCCTTTGGGAAGAGGATCACCGGCAGCGAGGCAAGAAAGCCGAGGCTCCCCCCGGACTGCTAGGGCTGTTGTGAGCTGAGGGGGCGCTCCTCAAGTGGCAGTCAAGGGGCATTTACAGAGGCGCCTCTGTGCCCCTGGCAAAAAAAAGTGTTCTGCAACCGCTTACTTCGCGTAATGGACGAGCCGCCCCTGAGCGCCATTATCTTCCCGCCAGAGTGGTACCTATTGATCTACTCACAATTGCATGTTTTCAAACTACTCGGTTGGCAGAAGCTGGGGCTCACAATGGAAACTCATGCCACTCCCCGGATTTGAACCTTTCGGTCAGCAGCTCAGCAGTTTAACCCACTGTGCCACCGGGGGCTCCCTGGAAGCTATAGAATGATCTAAATTACTCACACACGTACAGTTCTAGCCTTTCTCTAAGGCAGATGAATCAACTGACCTAAAACACTGTTTTAGAACAGGTTACTAGGTACTTAGAGGCAGCGGTGGTGCAGCAGGTGAAACCACTAAGTTGCAGAACTTGCTGATCGGAAGGTCAGTGGTTCGAATCCACAAACGGGGTGAGCTCCCATTGTTAGCCCCAGCTTCTGCCAACCAAGAAGTTCAAAAACATGCAAATGCGAGTAGATCAATAGATACCACTTCAGTGGGAAAGTAACAGTGCTCCATGCAGTCATGCTGGCCACATGACCTTGGAAGGGTATACGGACAACACCAGTTCTTCAGCTTAGAAATTGATATGAGCGCCACCTCCCAAATTTGCATACGGCTAGACTTAATTTCAAGGCGAAACCTTTACCTATTAATTTCTTAATATGTGGTTTTCACTCCTTACTAGAGGTGCTTGGAATTTCTATTACAACTCAGTATATACTTTGACCTGAGGGGGGTGATAGTGTGGGATGTTGGCAGCAAAATGTCAAAACTATTTACAAAAAATGATGAACAATGAAAGTTTATAAAATACAGGAATTTAACAAATTATATGATAAGGTTGGAAACAATTAGTTAATGAATGGAATAAGCCAGGGTCAATTACTCTGTCTCCAATAGATGTCAAAGCACATGGATGGAAGAATTCTTGCTATAAACTCTTAACTGCAATTTTTCAAACTCTCTTTTCTTTTCTCTTTAGACACAAGAAGCCAACCACAATGGAAATGCCATGGTTGCTCAGAAATATTCTAGACTGTCACGCATAATGGCCCATATAGCATTTGGGTTCGGGCTTCTGATCTGGACTTTGTATATCACCAAACTGACCATCATTTCTAGGAAACACGATGAGACAACAGACCAAGGTCTGACCAATCTATCAACAAATAATCCCTGAAGATGCATTGTGTGAGGCTTAAATCCTCAAAGACCCTTCACTGTCCTGTGATTCTCAAATAACAGAATGACTGTTTTGATGTCGTGTTGTTTAAGGTGCATATTATGGGGCTGGCACAGTTTTAAACGCACACCACGTGATTTCTGTACATATAGGTTTGATATTTCTGGTGGCTTATATATCCATTATGTGATTATATTATACTCTGGGCTTTTGTTGAAGCTTTGAAAGAACAATTTAAGGCCCTGGATCCTATTCCCGAAACAAATGCATAGAATAATAAAGTTGGAAGAGACCTCGTGGGCCATCCAGTCCAACCCATGCCAAGAAGCAGGAAAATTGCATTCAAAGCACACCTGACAGATGGCCATCCAGCCTCTGTTTAAAAGCCTCCAAAGAAGGACTCCACCACACTCCTGGGGCGGAGTTCCACTGCTGAACAGCTCTCACAGCCAGGAAGTTCTTCCTCATGTTCAGATGGAACCTCCTTTCTTGTAGTTTGAAGCCATTGTTCTGCATCCTAGTCTCCAGGGCAGCAGAAAACAAGCTTGCTCCCTCCTCCCTATGACTTCTCCTCACATATTTATACATGGCCCTCATCATGTCTCCTCTCAGCCTTCTCTTCTTCAGGCTAAACATGCCCAGCTCTTTAAGCCGCTCCTCACAGGGCTTGTTCTCCAGACCCTTGATCATTTTAGTGCCCTCCTCTGGACACATTCCAGCTTGTCAACATCTCCCTTCAATTGCAGTGCCCGGAATTAAACATTGTGTGATTCCAGGTGTGGTTTGACTATAAAGGGGAGCATGACTTCCCTGGATCAAAATACTAAACCTCTATTTATAAAGGACAAAATCCCATTGGCTTTTTTAGCCAAAGCATCACATTGTTGGCTCTGTTTAACTTCAGCACACTACATAACTCCTTTTGAGCTGTTTAAATTCAGCACGCAACCTAACTTTTTAAGGCCCTGGATCCTATTCCCAAAACAAATCCATAGAATCATAGAGTTGGAAGAGACCTCGTGAACCATTCAGTCCAACCCCAAATGTGTGGGCCTCGTGGGCCATTCAGTCCAACCCCAATTTCAAGTTAAAGTCCAGAGTAGATTCATCATTCCAGTGACACAGAAGATGTCAACCGCCTTTCCTTAATGATCAACAACAGAATATGTGAAGTTCAAAGCTCTACATTTACAAAAGATCTGAGAGTTCTCTTAGCAATGTGATAAACATAAGGTATGATTCTGCATACAAATATCCCTAACTAAAAATAAAATGGCGGGCAGGGATCTATCGGTTGATCTAACTAATGGCAATAATATCATCATGATTCATTCTGTTTAATTTTAGTGAACAAGCACGTAAAATCAATGTAGGTCATCTCCTTCCAAGTGCATCTCTCCCATTCCTTCCTTCTCTTTTTCTTGATTTTTTTTGTGTGTCAAGAGCAACCTGAGAAATTGCAAGTCGCTTCTGGTGTGAGAGAATTGGCGGTCTGCAAGGACGTTGCCCAGGGGACACCCGAATGTTTTACCTTCCCGTGGGAGACGTCTCTCATGTCCCCGGATGAGAAGATGGAGCTGACAGACGGGAGCTCACCCCGCTCCCCGGATTTGAACTACCAACCTTTCGGTCGGCAGTCCTGCCAGCACAAAGGTTTAACCCATTGTGCCACTGGGAGCTCCTTGATGAATCTATACCAGTTTCTCAACCTTTGTCTTTTGCTCCCTCTTCTGATCACTTGCTTTTCTGCTTCATCTTTCTTGGTTTTCTGGCCATTCTCACCCATATTTCAGAGTTGAAAACAAATTCATGTTTGCAACACCTCTGTCTCATAGTACTAATAGCCACACGGGTCTTTCAGAATTTGGATACTTTGCATGTTTAGATAACATTTTCCCAAACCCCCTATCCAGCATGCAAATCTAATCCCCCAAAGCCACCTTTTCAAGAGATTGTGGGTCAGTGTAGATCTACCCATGAAGATGATGGAATGTCCTAACATATACATGTTCCCATATGTCAAGGTCATGTATACAATGCATGGTGAGTCATGTAAACCAAACTCTTAGTCTTACTTTACTTCACTTTATTAAACTTTTGTCCCCTTGTAACTGGTTTGCGTATGTTTGCTGTGCACACAGACATTTCCTCTTGCAAGCAATGCCAGCTGAAGTTTGTAATTGTGCAGAACTGAACTAAGTTGCCAGCAAACATCTCCAATTGGACCTAACAATAAGAGACTGAGGGCCCTTCCACACAGCCATATAATCCAGAATATCAAGGCAGAAAATCCCACAATACTGGTTTGAACTGTGTTATCTGGTCGCTTCTGGACATGTCGCATTATTACGGGGTGTCTGCATCCTACACCACTGGAGAAATTATACCGTTTAGCCGGTATTGCACCATCTGACATCCACCGGGAAGTAGCGGTCAATACTGAAAGGACCAAGGCAGTGACATCTCCGGCCCATCCCCTGTTCAGATATCAGGCAGCACGTCAATGCCTTAAATCAAATAGTTTTCTAAGATCTATAGAAACACTTCCTGGAACACCTCAGCAGGCAAGAGTCCAAAAGTGGCAGGCAAAAACCCAGAACATCGCTCAATGGCTGATACCAAATGAGAGACTCCCTCCTGGGCACACAGAAGACTGGGCAACTTGAAAGGCACTGAACAGACTGCACTCTGGCACCACGAGTTGCAGAGCCAACCTTAAGAAATGGGGCTACAAAGTAGAATCTACGACATGCCAGTGTGGAGAAGAGCAAACCACAGACTACCTATTACAATGCAACTTGAGCCCTACCACATGCACAGTGGAGGACTTTCTTATAGCAACACCAGAGGCACTCCAAGTGGCCAGCTACTGGTCAAAGGACATTCAATAGTATGCCAAGTTTGCAAACTTTGTGAGTTTTTTGTTTTGTTTTTTGTTTTTAAACACAGTACAACTGTTTGGTTTGCTCCTGATACAATAAATAAAATACTGGGTTATCAGAGTCCACACTGCCATACATTTTAGTTCAAAGCAGAAAATGTGGGGTTTTATATAACTGTGTGGAAGGGGCCTGAGTAACCCTAGTCAAGTCATACACTCTCAGCCTCAGAGGACCACAATGTCAAATCTTGCCCAAAAAGGTCATAGGATCACCATAGATTAGAAACAACTTGACATGCTAATAGTGATCTGTTTGCACAGGTAATCCCGGCACCACACATTATGATACAAAAATGTTCCCTGCGCTGTATCACTTCCCATCAGCTCAATTGACCCAAAACAAGAACATCTGCACCAACAGGTTGTTGTAGGTTTTTCGGGCTGTATAGCCATGTTCTAGAAGCATTCTCTCCTGATGTTTTGCCTGCATCTATGGCAGGCATCCTCAGAGGTTGTGAGATGCCTGCATAGATGCAGGTGAAATGTCAGGAGAGAATGCTTCTAGAACATGGCCATGCAGCCTGAAAAACCTACAACAACCCAGTGATTCCAGCCATGAAAGCCTTCGACAATACATCTGCACCAACATTTCACAATCAAATATGGCAAAGCGTGTTTTATTTTTTATTATTTACTGTATTTTATCCCGTTCTATCTCAATCCCGAAGGGGACGCAGAGCGGCTTCCAAATTAACAATGATTTAATGCCACATTACAGCATAAACACATATAAAATACAAATATATTCTGCATTTTAAAGCAGTTGTGTTTCTCAAGTGTGAAGGGCAAGGAGGTTGGATGGTCTTATCCAAGTCGTTGATTGCACATTTAATGTCATAAATTTCCTTGTATGCCTTTGTTACGTTAGAATACGTTGGGGTTGACAAATGTCCGTGTATACCCATGCGTCCATCTCTCTGTTCATGTGCATACAATGGCCTCATGTGCGTCAGTCAATGCGGCATTTTGCTATTCTGCAAACTTATGGTGAAATTATCCTATCTCCAAGGTTGTTTTCAGCTCTCTGGCATTGCTCCAAAAATGTTCAACTGCGATAGAATTCTACTGAGCGGGTGAAACATTCTGACTGACATCCAAGAAGGCAAATTAGCAACATGTTTGTCTTTTTTGCTGTATGTAAATGGTCCCAGAAAGTGTTACTCCTTCTGCCTCCCTATCTCACCTACCTTTGTATAAGGTCAACAGTTGATAAGCCTGGAGAAAGGTATACATTTGCAAGGAATTCATGGTTCCATGCCATAGGCAACGCTAGAAGCAGCTACAAACGCTATGCAGGACCATTTTAGTTCAAGGTTCCCTCAAGGTCCTAGTAAGAAAGGGAAGCAATGGCAAATCAGTGCTGATTGGTGATTAGCGTACAGAACTGCGACTTAGGAGGGCCAGAAAGACCCTGCTGTTCCTTAATCTGTGCACTCTCTTTCAGTCCAACCTTCCTTGATTTTTGTGACAAAACTGAGGCACATGTATGTTTATGACAAAAACATTATGGAATATGTGGGATGAATATGAAGAAAGCTTGTGTCCATTGAAAATTGATTTTAAAAGTCCATGGACAACATGAAGACAACCAGGAGCAACTTCTGGGCCACTTTGGTTTTTGTGTCTGGGTGTAGACAAGCTCACAGTGATATTCTGTTAAATCAATTAAAGGAATAAACATTATTCATTCACCATAAACACTAAAGGCGTGCAAATGAATCGGAAGTGTTCGTTACTCAGAAGTAAATCGTATATTTTGTACTTTCAATGCAACTTCTGATGCACACATGTGGTACGTGCCCAACATTAAGAAACGGAACCTTCTCATTGTTTTGATTCTTAAGTTTAGATTCCTTTGTAACTAGCTGCAACACAGTTAAAATTCACACAACTTTGGTTAAGCCAAGAGAACATAAAGTGCTTAAAAAACAATTATTTTACATTGGAGTTTTGCCCGATTATCACCATGAGGAAAATGCTGTGGGCGAAACTAAACTTAATGGAGACTGAGAACACAACCATGTTAAATATAGTTTTGGAAAACGAGGCCCCCCAATGGCAGGTAATGCAAAAGGCCCTGCCGTAAACTACATTTCCCAGAATGCAGTTCTGCTCAAGACCCAAATGAGGGTTGAAGGACCCAAATGATAGCTGGCACTGCAGCTGCTGTGGTCTAGAGTTAAAATAATAATAATAATAATAATAATAATAATAATAATAATAATAATAATTAATAATAATAATAATAATAATTAAAATTATTGAATCTGAAAGGAGGATTAAAGGAAGCAAGCATTAAGGAACTTTGGCAAAGCCAAGAGAATATAAAGGACTTTCAAAATTCTTCCTTTTACTTTGGACCATTGCTGTAAGAAAGACACTGTGGGGGGCAGCCAGCCAGCTATTTAGAGTCACTAATACATGAAAGTATTGAATCTGCAAAGAGGACTAAAGTAATAGTATAAATCTGTGCTAAGTTAAAGTTCTGTGGTTGTGTGTCACAAAGGCAGACGGACATTCAAGGGGATTGCTGTGGTCACTTTTGGGAGGATAAACTGTTTTGATCTAAACTTTTAAAAATCCCCAGAAATCTGTAGATGTTTGAAATTTTCTGAAACTTCTGGGAATTGATGCCCTGGTTATCTTGTGTACTGTATATAAAATTCAAGTAGTTTATAAAATCTTTGAAAATTTGCCACAAATCCGTGGATAAGCAAAATGTTTTGAAACTTGATGGACAAAGAGTGGTAAATGTGTTCTACCACTGTAGCAAGTTTCATCCTAATAGCTTTAAAAATGAGGGTGATAGAAGCCCCTGAAGTTTCCCCACTGACAGTGATGTTTTCCTTATTGTGCATGCACAATTGCCATTAATGAAGTAATTATGAAACTTCATTAGTCCTGTTAGAGTTCCAAAAATTACACCTCCAAAACATTAGAAACACTTTAGAAATGATGTGCCAGCACCTTCTAGATCCATGCCTAATAAACATGATGGATTGCCACCTTGTCGTAGTGAGGGGGTTTGCATGTGCCAATGAACATGCAGGCGTAACCACCGGAGTCATGCACTCCCAGGAGGGGCCACAGGGGAGGTTCCAGACCAAGCACAATCTGAAGATCTGAAGACCTCAATGGTGGATCAATGGTGGAGGATAGCATAATACATGTTACAACGGCTGTGAAGGCGGAAAAAGGCTGCAACAGATTGAAAAGTCACTGCCGTGTTAACCATGCCACTGATTGGGACCTCCCTTTGTGAAGACTGTGTGTTGATCGGCTGTGCACCGACCTCCACACATTAAAAAAAACTCATGCACAGGCGTCTTCCTAATAATAATAATATTATCAAGATCTCAAAATCAAACTGCAAAGGCTCTGGCATAAACCAGTGCAGGTGGTCCCAGTGGTCATTGGCACACTGGGTGCAGTGCCAAAAGATCTCCGCCAACATTTGGAAACAATAAACATTGACAAAATCACGATCTGCCAGCTGCAAAAGGCCACCTTACTTAGATCTGCGTGCATCACTCAGAGATACATTACACAGTCTGAGACGCTTGGGAAGAGTTTGACTTGTGATTTTTTTGATACAAAATCCAGCATATAGATCTTGTTTGCTGTGACATACTGTGGTTTTGTGTCAGTAAAATAATAATAATAATAATAATAATAACAACAATAATAATAATAAAAACATACAAAGGAAAGCTGTATTCTCTGCAGACCTATCGAAAAGTGAACATATAATCTGATTCAACCATAGGCTTCTTCTGTTCAGCATCATTTTTTTATTTTTTATTTTTTGCGATGTCAGACACTTTATGACTGGAAGGAGAAGTGAGAGCATGGAAGACAAGGGAAATGACAGCAGTGTTTATATTTCTCAATAAGAGCAAGATGAAAATGCTACAAACATTTAATTCTGAATTGGGAGAAGGACAGTGATGTAAGTGTTCCTGGGGAACAATATCCTTATTCTGTGGAAGGAGGTGAGCCAAGACACTTAAGCTCCAGAGAACCTTTAGCACAGGAAGCTATTTATCATAACAAGCTTGGTTGAGACTGCTCCCCATACTGAACCAATTAGAGTAGCTTATTTCGTCATACTTCATAACTTGCAATGATAGGTTTCCAAGCTATGCAACGATCCTTCCTCAACATTGCTTCTTCTCGGTTGCCATTTTGGCTCTTCAATCCTTCCCAAACATCCATGCATCAGAAGTAGTGCATTAACAGAAGCTGGCCATCATCCTGATTCTGGGTAACACCCTTGGAATACAATGCTCTACAACCGAACCTGTGCATGCCTCTTCTTCTCTCCCTGCAAGCATGGCAGTGTCTCCATGTGCTCCACAGCAACATGGGCAAGCATTCTTAAATATAGTTGTCTTTTCAATGTCTTCCTATTAAATAATTGTGCATACTACTTTCCAAGTTCTGTGAATGGCTCCTCTGTGTCCTTTTATACTAAGGGTTCCTCAAGGTCTTTAGCTTGAGTATCTGGGTGAGTTTGCTCCAGGTTGAGATAACAAGGAAGGAGCATTTCAAGGTGAGAGGGTTTTTTTTTTTTCTTTTCACTGGCTGTTTGTTTCCTTCTTTGCAGGCCTGTCACCTCCTGGTATCTGACTACAAAAAGCACGTAAGAGGACCCAGCTCGGTGGCACTTAGAACCACCCCTCATTCCTGGGAGAAAGTAGCACCTCTGGGAATTTATAAAAGGAGGACATCTAGGAAGGGTCACCTTTTAGCTTGCTGTACTGTGTAGCATTTACAAAGCCTCAAATACGCAAGACCCATTTGGGTCTCTCTTCTTGGCCTCAAAAAGGATCAGGACCAAGAAAACAAGATGGGGAAGGCGGTAAGGGTCTTTCTTTTTGCATCTATATGTATCCCAGTGAAAAGGGAGGTTTAGGCTTTTTTCCATCACTGCTCGGACATGTTCTGTAAGGTAGTATCTGTTATCATGTGCCTTCAAGTAATTTCTGATTTGTGGAGTCCCTAAGGTGAATATATCATCGGATAGTCTTTGCAAGATTTGTTTAGAACCCTTTTCCAATTGCCTTCAAAGCCCAAAGTCACCCAGTGGGTTTCTGAGGTTGAGCAGGGACTGTTGTTATATTGTTTTCCCAGTGTCAATCCACTATCCTACAATGGCATCTTCAACTTTGTCTCTTTCACTCTAGTTATGAATATTTTGATTGCTTTCCTTCAGCACTCCTATTTATTTTGAAGACAGAAGGGCTAGCCGGATCCCTGGGATTGTTGTGTTGTTCTGTTTAGTTAGCAAAAAAAATAATAATTTTGTAGTCTTGTCTAGTAAGGGAATAGAACATATTGAACAGTTTGTGAGGAGTTAAATTGGGTCTGAAGAAAACCATCAAAAAGATCGGGAATAGATATTCAGATCTACCCATGTTTAATAGTTTCATGATACACATACTTCTGTTAAAGGTGGCTCACATCTCTAGTGTAAACAGCAGAAGCTTTTATGGATAAACAGAGAAAGTTTTCTATTACTGTATATAATCAAGTATAAGCTGACCCGACTATAAGACAAGGCAGCTAATTTTACCACAAAAAAACTGGGAAAACATATTGACTCGAGTATAAGCCAAGGATGGGAAATGCAGCAGCTACTGTTACATTTCAAAATAAAAATGGATGTCAATAAAATTACACTAATTGAGGTATCAGTAGGTTAAATGTTTTTGAATATTTACATAAAACTGTAATTTAAGATAAAGACTTTCCAACTCTGATTAAATCATTATTCTAACCTTCTTCAATGTAAATGTGCTTACGTATCCTTCCAATAATCACCATAGTTTATTTGAACTATACATTTTGGGGGAAATAATGTGTGTGTATGAATAAGGAAAAGTGGGAAAGACTGGAGCCAAGAGAGAAGGAGAGAAAAGTGCATGCTGCACTGATAGAGGAGGGGAGGAAGGTGTGCACTATGTGAGAGGAGAGGAAGGAGAGCTGGGTTGCTTTGTGAAGAGGTGGGGATCCTGGCAGGAAGGCGTGGGGCTGAAAGAAGCCCTTATTTTAGGCCTATGTCTTCCCGCCAGAACCCTCACCCGAGTATAAGCTAAGGAGGTTTTTTTCAGCCTAAAAAAGGTTGAAAGGCTAGGCTTATACTCGAATATATACAGTATTTATTTAGTATATTTTTGTCCTGCTGTTGGTGGGAGCTGTTGTGGCACAATGGGTTAAACCCTTGTGCTGACTGAACCTGAAGGTCAGCGGTTCAAATCCACAAGATGGGGTGAGCTCCTGTCTGTCAGCTCCAGCTTCCCATGTGGGAAGCCTCCCACAGGATGGTAAAACATGTGTCTCCTGAGTAACGTCCCTGGAGATGGTCAATTCTCTGACACCAGAAGCGACTCGCAATTTTTCAAGTGACATGAGTGAGGGGAATAACAAGAAAACTGGGGGAAATGGTTTTGCTCCTTCAATCCACCCTCCACCCCATAAAGTGGACTATCCTTCTCTCTCTAGCACCCCCTTGTGGCCTCCACACAGATAATGGAACAGAACCTAAAATAATTTGATATATCTATTCCTGACTTATCGATTTGATTGGTTGTTTTGAGTCATATCTTATGAAGGTTTTTCTTGTTTGATCACTTGCCAGGGAAACTCTTTTGGTCTTGGTACCCTGCAAACTATCTAATTATTTTTGCATCATCATGTATAAGTCAATATCATACATAAGTTGAGGGCATGTCTGGGAGCCAAAATTATGGATTTCGATATGAACTGTGAATGCATTGAGGGTCAATTTGCAGAGGAGAAAGCACCAACTGTGCCTTAAAGGGAGAGAAATAGTTATTGTTACTATTATTTTCCTATCCAGTAATTCAAGGCTTGGTATAATGCTAGATATGTAATATTTCTGTTGCTTTGTTGTGTCTTTGTCCTGGGGCAGACTAAGTGCAAGAGTGGAGAGGAGGTGGCTTACTCATGAGTAAACAAGTGAACCCCTTTTGCTAACTTCACCACGGCAGGAGGAGCCCCTGGTGGCACAGTGGGTTAAACCCTTGTGCCACCAGGACTGCTGACCGAAAGGGAGCGGGTGAGCTCCCGTCTGTCAGCTCCAGCTTCTCATGCGGGGACATGAGAGAAGCCTCCCATAGGATGGTAAAATATCTGGGCATCCCCTGGGCAACATCCTTGCAGACGGCCAATTCTCTCACATCAGAAGCGACTTGCAGTTTCTCAAGTCATTCTTGACATTAAAAAAAATGGCAGGAAAGCACCAAAAAGCTACTGCCAACACGAGCATTCTTTTCAAGTGAGCATTATATGGATAAGGTCAGAGGACAATTGCATTGGCCTGGGCATAAGTCAGCCTAAGTTTTGGACTCATGTTTAAAGTATATATGGTATGGTGGTATGTATACTTTAAAAGGGAAAGACTACAGGAACAGCAACATGAAAGAAATAAGGTGCCATAGAAATCATTGCTTCAAGCTAGCAGATGTTGCCTGCTGTTCCTCACTATGATTGTATGAGCTTGAGGAATGAGCTACCACTATTGTAACACACCAAAACAACTTGGCCTTTGTCTTCTGCAGTTTATTTATTTATTTATTTATTACTATATTTATATACCGCCCTTCTCAGCCCACAGGCAACTCAGGGTGGTTTACAGTCAACACCAAAAACATAAAATACAATTAAAACAGTTAAAATACATTTAAAATAGTTCCAAGAGCCCTTTCTACCTTGGAAGGTAAAGTGACCTTCAGCAGATCATAGAATCATAGAAACATAGAATCATGGAGTTGGAATTGACCTCGTGGGTCATCCAGTCCAACTCCCTGCCAAGAAGCAACAAAATTGCATTCTAAGCACCCCCGACAGATGGCCATCTAGCATCTGTCTAAAAGGAGCCTCCACTACACTGGTGCATCGATCAGATGTTCCTCTTCTGATTGATGCACCATGAAACAAGCTTGATTGCCTATTCTTTCTCTTTAGACCAGTGAACTGTGAACTGTGGAGTCACTTTGTCATTTGGCAGGTCATCTGTATCTGGTTTAGGGTCTTTATCATCCGTTTCTGGGACTGTAGACTCTCAACATGTGGGCAACGTTGTTGTCCCAAACAAAACCTCATTTTTTAATACAAATCCATCCAGTTATTTATAAGGAAACTAGGCATTTGTCCAGTCAGGATTCCCACAAAAGTGGATTTTGTATACACCATGTAGTCTAGGTTTCACACCAGATCACTTCTTCAGATTTGGTGCTAATCCATCTAGTTTTATTCGTGTGATGAGGTAAACATAAACAACCATTACTTTTATTTCCATAGAGTTCATTTTGGCTCTTCATATTTTCTTCTTCTTGAAAATGGTTGTAAATATTTTATATTTACATGAAATATCATAGAATCATAGAGTTGGAAGAGTCCTCATGGGCCATCCAGTCCAACCCCCTGCCAAGAAGCAGGAAAATTGCATTCAAAGCACCCCTGACAGATGGCCATCCAGCCTCTGTTTAAAAGCCTCCAAAGAAGGAGACTCTACCACACTCCAGGGCAGAGAGTTCCACTGCTGAACAGCTCTCACAGTTAGGAAGTTCCTAATGTTCAGATGGAATCTCCTTTCTTGTAGTGTGAAGCCATTGTTCCCGTCCTAGTCTCCAGGGAAGCAGAAAACAAGCTTGCTTCCCTCCTCCCTATGACTTCTCCTCACATATTGATACACGGCCCTCATCATGTCTCCTCTCAGCCTTCTCTTCTGAAGCTAAACATGCCCAGCTCTTAAGCCACTCCTCATAGGGCTTGTTCTCCAGACCCTTGATCATTTTAGTCACCCTTCTGGACACATTTCAACTTGTCAACATCTCTCTTCAGTTGTGGTACCCAGAATTGGACACAATATTCTGGGTGTGGTCTAACCAAGGCAGAATAGAGGGGTAGCATGACTTCCCTGGATCTAGACATACTCCTATGTATGCAGGCCAAAATCCCATTGGCGTTTTTAGCCACTGCATCACATTGTTGGCTCAGTAACAAAGGTTATCATGTTTATGTTTATTCTATGTCGCAGATCACACATTGCTGGAAGGAAAAATGTCTTAAAATAAAGAAATAATCATGCAAATTCCTTGGGGTTTGTTTTCCTATTTCAGGACAAGTATGATATGTACTCGGTGGAAATGGAGAAGCACTCCAGTGGGGAGATGGATGTGAAAATCAAGTCGAAGAAGACCAAAGGAGCAAAGAAGAAGGAGAAGCTGGAAAATATGAAGAAAGAGATGGTTGTGGTGAGTTGCTGGCTAACAATTGTTCTGAGACACTTTCAAAGGTGTAACATGATTGAGGGAATGGAATCCTCTCACTTTCATTTCCAGGATATTTTATTTATTTATATATTTGTGTATTACTTCATAATCTCTTCCACCATTCACCAAGCAGGTTGTCTAAATTTTCTAAATTATTCAGCCCCCGGTGCCGCAATGGGTTAAACCCTTGTGCCAGCAGGACTGCTGACTGAAAGGTCGGCAATTCGAATCCAGGCAGCGGATGAGCTCCAGTCTGTCGGCTCCAGCTTCTCATGCAGGAACATGAGAGAAGCCTCCCAGGGGATGGTAAAACATCTGGGTGCCCCCTGGGCAACATCCTTGCAGACAGCCAATTACCTCACACCAGAAGCAACATGCAGTTTCGCAAGTCACTCCTGACATGAAAAAAAAAATCGTTTTGAGCATGCTATATACGTATCTGATTAAATATTTAACAGAAGCCTAATTGCTTAGTGTTTTAAATCCATTGTAAGGGAATGTAGGCTTAAAAAGAAATGGAGAGTTGACTTCCTGATATCACAAATACTAGGCAATCAGTGTTGTTTGCACCCAGTAAACATCATCAGGAACAGAAAAACATGCCTTTTCACAATAGCCCCTAATTGTTCTTCGACTGTTTAAATTGCATATCTCTTAAACTATGGGTGCTTCTATACTGTAGTATTAATGCAACTCAACACCACTTTAACTGCCATGGCTCAATGCTGTGGAATCATGGGAGTTGTAGTTTTCCAAAGTCTTTAGTCTTCTCTTCCATCAAACTACATCTTTTAGGATTACATAGTATTGAACCATGGCAGTTAAAGTGTTTTGGAAAAATGGCATTCATAACCTTTTTGAAATGCATGACCTTGTTAGAAGTCAACCCTCTGAAAAAGTGATGTTCAAATGCTTTCATGTTTTGGCACACAGGTAAATCAGTTAAACTAATAAACCATGTCTTTGAACTGCCAGGGACAAAGACATGCCACTGCACAAAAGAAATATACTTAGCTAGCAGAGTTTTGAAAATGTTTCTTTGAAGTTGAAATTGAAATTGCAGTTGCCCAAAACATATACTCTCCCTTGAAACCCCTTAGTTTAATATATGCACGCCTGTCAACATCTCTCTTTAATTGTGGTACCCAGAATTGGACACAATATTCTAGATGTGGTCTAACGAAGGCAAAATAGAGGGTAGCATGACTTCCCTGGATCTAGACAGTAGACTCCTATGTATGCAGGCCAAAATCCCATTGGCGTTTTTAGCCACTGCATCACATTGTTGGCTCAGTAACAAAGGTTATCATGTTTATGTTTATTCTATGTCGCAGATCACACATTGCTGGAAGGAAAAATGTCTTAAAATAAAGAAATAATCATGCAAATTCCTTGGGGTTTGTTTTCCTATTTCAGGACAAGTATGATATGTACTCGGTGGAAATGGAGAAGCACTCCAGTGGGGAGATGGATGTGAAAATCAAGTCGAAGAAGACCAAAGGAGCAAAGAAGAAGGAGAAGCTGGAAAATATGAAGAAAGAGATGGTTGTGGTGAGTTGCTGGCTAACAATTATTCTGAGACACTTTCAAAGGTGTAACATGATTGAGGGAATGGAATCCTCTCACTTTCATTTCCAGGATATTTTATTTATTTATATATTTGTGTATTACTTCATAATCTCTTCCACCATTCACCAAGCAGGTTGTCTAAATTTTCTAAATTATTCAGCCCCCGGTGCCGCAATGGGTTAAACCCTTGTGCCAGCAGGACTGCTGACTGAAAGGTCGGCAATTCGAATCCAGGCAGCGGATGAGCTCCAGTCTGTCGGCTCCAGCTTCTCATGCAGGAACATGAGAGAAGCCTCCCAGGGGATGGTAAAACATCTGGGTGCCCCCTGGGCAACATCCTTGCAGACAGCCAATTACCTCACACCAGAAGCAACATGCAGTTTCGCAAGTCACTCCTGACATGAAAAAAAAAATCGTTTTGAGCATGCTATATACGTATCTGATTAAATATTTAACAGAAGCCTAATTGCTTAGTGTTTTAAATCCATTGTAAGGGAATGTAGGCTTAAAAAGAAATGGAGAGTTGACTTCCTGATATCACAAATACTAGGCAATCAGTGTTGTTTGCACCCAGTAAACATCATCAGGAACAGAAAAACATGCCTTTTCACAATAGCCCCTAATTGTTCTTCGACTGTTTAAATTGCATATCTCTTAAACTATGGGTGCTTCTATACTGTAGTATTAATGCAACTCAACACCACTTTAACTGCCATGGTTCAGTGCTGTGGAATCATGGGAGTTGTAGTTTTCCAAAGTCTTTAGTCTTCTCTTCCATCAAACTACATCTTTTAGGATTCCATAGTATTGAACCATGGCAGTTAAAGTGTTTTGGAAAAATGGCATTCATAACCTTTTTGAAATGCATGACCTTGTTAGAAGTCAACCCTCTGAAAAAGTGATGTTCAAATGCTTTCATGTTTTGGCACACAGGTAAATCAGCTGTTAAACTAATAAACATTGTCTTTGAACTGCCAGGGACAAAGACATGCCACTGCGCACAAAAAATATATACTTAGCTAGCAGAGTTTTGAAAATGTTTCTTTGAAGTTGAAATTGAAATTGCAGTTGCCCAAAACATATACTCTCCCTTGAAACCTCTCAATTTAAAATATGTACTCAGAGACTAATAATAATAATAATAATAATAATAATAATAATAATAATAACACTTTATTTATTTTCCACCCTTCTCACCCCGAAGGGGACTCAGGGGAGGTCACAGTACATACACATGGCAAACATTCAATGCCACTTTTTACAGACAATACACAGAACAGAAGGAGGTGCCATGGAAGGTTGGGCTTGAGTCCGGGGGGTGCTCTTGCTCTATCCTCTATGATGAAGAGCCATCAGGACTTCCTCCTTTCTTTTGGTCGCCCAGCATTTTCTGATCTTTTTTCTTTATGGCGTCATAAAACACCTCGCCCGCTTTTTTAGCGGTCCCTAATTTTTCTAATCACAGCTAAAGCTGTTTTCGAATTGCTTAGGTAAACAATGAGTTAGTCTGACTGTTGGCAGCTCATGCCAACCTGGGGGTTCAAACTTGCAACCTTTTGGTTGATAGATCTTATAACTGCTGATGATTTACCAGCTGTGCTAAACCTCCAGCCTGGAGGTTTAGCACAAAAAAAATATCTTGTTTTCTCATAAACATCTTGTATTAATTCAGCATATAGGCACATTTCTTGTTAGAGTTCAGTTATAGATTGGATGTTGTTTCTCTGTGTTGAGATCACAGGGCATCATTCTTAATCCATAGTCCATAGTCCAAAGTCTTTACGTATACATCTTATAAAAGTCCAAACCGTATAACTGTACTCACTGCTTCTCAAAGCAAACATATAGTAAACTGTTCCTGCATAAGTCCAAATGACATCTACTTCTATTGAAAACCAAAAACATGCCTGCTTTCATTAAAGTCCAAAAGCATACTGATAACAAAATGGAGTCTTGAGTCTGAACATGCTCAGTACAATCACATGTCTGTAGCCCCTGTCAAACTAGCAAATCAATATATACATACAATACAGGTTAGCAAATATATACATCAACAAACAAACAAATAGTGAAGGCTTGAAAGGTTGCTATTTCCAACAAAGTRGTGTCGAACTGCATGAATTCTGCAGTGTAGTTGCACCCTATGTTCCTTTACCTGTGCCATTACAAATCCATTGATTTTACAGAAACATGTAGTAATACACAACCATTGAATGAAGGTAGATCTTTTCATCTTGTGCTTATTCTGCTTTTTTTAGGATGATCACGAATTGTCTGTGGAGGACTTGGAGCTGAAGTATCGAACCAGTGTCACGAAGGTGATGCCCTCATTTAAAAGGGTTTTTATATATATATATATAAACAACAACCAGTGATGGGGTTGTCCACATTTATTATTAGGAATGGAGAAATTTAAAAATCACATTTTATTTTATGGGCCAGCACAGTTTAATAATATGCTAGTTTTGTCCCAGATCCATGCAAATTCTTTTCATCCCTGGAAAAAACCCGTACATACTTTTCTGTGCATTTATATGTTCAATAATTTCTCCATTGAATAGGTTGGGGAGTTTCAATGGTATCAGAGACATCTACAGGGCTCATGGTGGGCTGCAGTCCTGCTACCAAATATCTGTTTGAGAGATGTCAAACCTGAAAACCAGGCCCTCACTTCCAATTTCTTAAAAATAACATCATCCTTTTGATGAACCGATAACATGGACTTTGTGATAGAGGGAAAATGTAAACACTAAAGTTTCCAGCTTATTCTGACTATTAAACAGAGCTTTGATGAGATAGGAATCAAAACAAAGGAGGACTCACATGCAACCTATGGTCCATGTTTTGCTGCTCACAAAGGACCCCTCCAGACAGGTCCTATATCCCAGGATCTGATCCCAAATTTTCTGTTTATCCCAGATTATCTGGCAGTGGGGACTCATATAAGCCACTTCAAAGCAGAAAACCTGGGATCGGATCCTGGGATATAGGGTCTGTCTGGAAGGCCCCAAAGAGGAGCATTTTAGAAGAGGATTTTCTGATGGTCCTGTCTGCTTTTTTCTTTGTTTCTAGGGCTTGAACAGCACAGTAGCCGGGGAGATCTTTCTTCGTGATGGTCCCAATGAGCTGAAGCCTCCCAAGGGTACTCCGGAGTATGTGAAGTTTGCCCGTCAGCTGGCTGGAGGGCTGCAATGCCTCATGTGGGTGGCAGCTGCTATCTGCCTCATTGCCTTTGGCATCCAATGCGGGCAAGGGGATCTTACTAGTGCAGACAATGTAAGTACCAGAAGAGGACCATGAAAGAAGCAAAAACAGTGGCAAGGGATCAACCTTATCAACCTTACAATTAGTAGCATTTATGTCCTATCCGTCAGCTGATGACAATGGATCTCTTTCACCAGTTTTACATAACAGTTCCTCCATGAAGTTAACCAGGCATGGAGGGCAGTGACAGGTCCAAGGTTGCCAAGTTTCACTCATGGCAGATCTCTAATTTTTTAAGTTGCCTTAAGGTGGTTTTTTAATTAATATTTTTATCAATGTAATATTTCACTTTGTGGGTAGATTTTGTACATTTAATACAAACATGTCATTTATCTATGATCACCAAAAAAAAACTCATGGCAAAGCTCTAGTCCTGAGAGACAATACTTTGCTACTGACAACAATAAAAAGGACAAAACTGGTGAGGGGTGTGGGCTAGTAGGAGGCCAAAATCAAAACAGTAATTGACTACTATCCACTGCTGGAAGTCATAAATCAAATGATGTGTAGTCTGCCAGGAGGCTCAGAACCCTAAACTGATCTCTACCACAACTGCCTCCCCCTCCCTTTAAGGTAAAGGTTAAGGTTTCCCCTTTACATTAAGTCTAGTTGTGTCTGACTCTGGAGGGTAGTGCTCATCTCCATTTCTAAGCTGAAGAGCCGGCGTTGTCCACAGACATCTCCAAGGTCATGTGGCCAGATTCGAACCACTGACCTTTCAGTTGGCAAGTTCAGCAGCTCAGTGATTTAACCCACTGCCCCACCGGAGGTTCCTCTTCCCTTTACCAAGGCACTCGTGTCTGGTGCTATACCAATCTGGCATGAAAGCCAGCTTGGGTTTTCCCAACAGCACAAAATGATTCACATACTCCAAAAATGATATTTGCAGATAGGCAAATAGGCAGTGAAAGGACCTAGCTGGTGCAGTATGAAAAAATGATAGACTGACAGTAACTTTTTGCTTCTTTGTCCATCTTTGCCAATTTATGTAGCTCTACCTGGCAATTGCCCTCATTGCTGTGGTGGTTGTGACCGGCTGCTTTGGGTACTACCAAGAATTCAAAAGTACCAACATCATTGCAAGCTTCAAGAATCTAGTGCCACAGGTAAAGACAAAACCCTGAGTACTCGCACACTGGCAAATGAATGAAAGATAGTGTTAAGAAATGGGTGGGTAGGGACAGCAAGAGTGGATTCAGCTACAATACTTGTAAAGTAGTGCAGTCTGAACATAATGTTAAATTTCAAATAGTTTTTGAATACTAGAACCAGTTGTAGAAACATCTACTGAATCTTTTCACACTGGGTGCTCATGTTGCACTCCCCAATTCCAAAGGTCTGAGAAAAGATATCCTGGGAAGTGGGATTGTGGTTTTTGCTCTAGAGCAGAAGTCCACAAAATAAGGTCGATGGGCTGGATGTGGCCCTCCAAGGCCATTTACATGGCCCTTGCCTTAACCTTTAGACCAGTGGTTCCCAACCTGTGGTCTGTGGACCACCAGTGGTCTACAAGAACTAAAATATGGTCCATGGCTTCACCGTTACTACACAGTTGCAATGAGAGAAATTGGTCTCATGAAACCCTCTTATACACTTATAGTGCCGAGGCTTATTAAATATGGTTTTTTGTGGGCAAGCATCCTATAGAGCAGTAATTTCCAACCAGTGGTCCACAAGAACAAAAATATGGTCTGTGGTCTCATCATTACTGCACTGTTGCCTTGAAACCATGCAGCAACGAGAACAACTGGTCTCGCAAAACCCTCTTATAGTGCCGAGGCAACAGGGATGTTAGAAGGGAAGACTACCCATGGAGATTACTACCACATCAACTCTAGATAATTAAATATGGTTTTATGCGGGCGAGCAGATGCCGACTACTGGATGGCATATATTCTGTATCAGAAACTAGAGCTGGTGTGGGCTATCCAATGCAACTTTCTGAATCAGCACCCCAAATAACCAAACCAAATCTAAAGTTGACCAAAAACCGATTCGTAACCCTTTTGGTACTAATGTTGGAGAGTAGTCCCTGGTCAAAGTGATCCCTGTTCAAAAAGAAAAGTTGGGAAACACTGCTTTAGACTTAGGGTCATCCTAAGTCTGAAATGAATTGAAGGCACACAAGAACAACAACAACAACAAACTATCTTAACTAGTTTGACTATCTCATCAGCCAAAAGCAGGCCCACACATCCCATTGAAATACTGATGTTTATGTTGGTTAAAATTGGTCTTAATTTGAAATATTGTATTGTTCTTTCATATTTTTTTGCATTACAAATAAGATATGTGCAGTGTGCGTAGGAATTCATTTACATTTTTCTCAAACTATAGTCCGGGCCCCACCGATGTGCCCTGTGAACTGGAACATCTGCTTAAAAGGTTTGAGGACCCCTGCTCTAGAGTCTTCTGTTGCTTTGTAATGAGACCAGGAATAAGAAAATCAACACAATTATGTTGGATCCCTTCCCTATTTTGTAGCTAAACACACTGTTTTGTCATGCAGAACAATTCCCAGATTGAAATCTTGGTTTTAAGTGTTGCCAGTCAAAGCAGACAATATTGCTTTGGATGGAGACATGAAGAAAACACCTTTTTGTGCCAAACCCCAAGTGACAGTCTGTCCCCCATTATTTTTCTTCTTTCTTCCAACCACAGCAAGCCACAGTGATTCGAGATGGGGACAAGTTCCAGATCAATGCCAATCAGCTAGTAGTAGGTGACCTGGTGGAGATCAAAGGGGGAGACCGGGTGCCAGCAGACATCAGGATCATCACTGCCCAAGGGTGCAAGGTAACCAAGTCCTGCATGGGGAAAACCGATGTTCATGATACTCATTGCATCATAGTGTGAGAAAATGTGCTGCCATTGCCCTCTGCAGGAAGAACATTTTGTGAAAGGAGAGAAGAGATTCTTTAGGAAAGCAATTTATGTCACTTAGTTACTAGAAGCCCCCTGTGGCACAATGGGTTAAACACTTGTTCCGGCAAAACTGCAGACCAAATCCAGGAAGCAGGGTGAACTCCCATCTGTCAGCTTCAGCTTCTCATCCAGAGACATGAGAGAAGCCTCCCACATGATGGTAAAACATCCAGGTGTCCCCTGGCAATGTCCTTGCAGTCAGCCAATTCTCTCACACCAGAAGTGACTTGCAGTCTCTTGAGTCTCTCCTGACATTAAAAAAAACGAAGTTACTTGGTATACAAAAAAGCTAGCTATCCACATATTATCAATATTTACATCTGCATCACATATACATTCCCAGCTAACTGTTCACAATGGCTACGATAACAACATAAACAACATTTATTATGGTTCACAGACCCAGCAGTGAACACACTTACGCACTATATTCATATAATGAATATAAAATTATGTGATAGACAACTGTATAGCAAGCTCTCTGTCTATGTATATCATATCATTCTATATTGTTATATAATATTCAACTCAAATTTGGGGAGTGGGGTGACCTCCCGTCTGTCAGCTCCAGCTTCCTATGCAGGGACATGAGAGAAGCCTCCCACAGGATGGTAAAATATCCGGGCGTCCCCTAGGCAATGTCCTTGTTTTTAAGGTTGGCCAATTCTCTCACACCAGAAGTGACTTGCAGTTTCTCAAGTCGCTCCTGACACAAAAAATATAATAATATTCAACAGTGAGGGGGAACAAGTAGTACTCCAGGTATTATTGAACTATCATCTATTATAGTTAGTGGTGAGGATGATGAAAACCGTATTCCAACAACATCTAGAGGGCTTTACAGTCACCCATTCATAATACACAGTATATGTCAGATTGAGTCCTGATCTAGTTATGTGTAGAATGACTTCAATTGTTCCCTATCAAGGGAGTGTATTTTGTTTGAGAATGAAAACCAAAGCCATATGCAAAACTCTTCTATATGAAGGGATGTGTGTGTGCGATTCCATTGGTTACACATGAATTTGGCTTTAATGTATGTCTCCTTTGGGTTATTTCTTTCCCCAGGTAGATAATTCCTCTTTGACAGGAGAATCAGAACCCCAAACAAGAGCCCCAGAATGCACCCATGAGAGTCCCTTGGAAACCAGGAACATTGCCTTCTTCTCGACCATGTGCTTAGAAGGTAAGAAGGAGTGATTTCTGTAGAGAGAACGCTGGATTCATGTGGGAAGCTGGTTCATGGTCACCCCCAGTCCCTGTGGATCCACAGACAAAGTTTGCAGGTGAGAAAATATGGAAACTTAAGGTGCAAAGAATTTGGATGGTACCATTTTCCCCTTTGGCAGGAAAGCATTTCTTTGTGGGGGTGATGAATAATGAATATTCTTCATGTTCCTAAGATGGAAATCCTCCAGCCTTGTGAACCAAACTACACAAGACACCTATTTTTTATTTGGATTTGCCATTTACAAATGCACCTGTGTGTCCTCCAACTTTGCCAAAAGTGAAGCAAAGGCCCACAATAATCACCAGAATTCAATGAATGATTTGGAGACATCCAGCAGTAAATTCAAGATGAGTCCAAGTTGTCCTGCCCATGTTGACTTGCCCTTGGTTGTGTTTTGTATGAAACTCATCCCATGCTTTGAAATGTAGTTCCCCAAAGCAAAATGTGAAAAATTATCCTGCATATTTACTATTTTTGTGCAGAATTAGGCAACCAATATCCTTTTTTTCCACCCTTAGGCACAGCTACAGGCATCATCATTAGCACTGGTGATCGCACCATCATTGGACGTATTGCTAGCTTGGCTTCAGGAGTAGAGAATGAGAAAACGCCCATTGCCATTGAGATCGAGCACTTTGTGGATATTATTGCTGGCTTGGCAATCTTTTTTGGTGCCACCTTCTTTGTTGTTGCTATGGTGATCGGCTACCCCTTCCTCAAAGCCATGGTGTTCTTCATGGCCATTGTGGTGGCTTACGTCCCTGAGGGTCTTCTGGCAACGGTCACAGTAAGTATTGCTCTCCATCAGTTTAGGGTCCTTTCCAGGTGACAAAAACATCATGTACTAGATCAGTGGTTCTCAACCTGTGGATCCCCAGACGTTTTGGCCTTCAACTCCTAGAAATCCTAACAGCTGGTAAACTGTGTTGTCGAATGCTTTCCTGACCGGAATCCTCTGAGGATGCCTGCCATAGATGCAGGCAGAACATCTGGAGAGAATGCTTCTCAAACATGGCCATATAGCCCAAATAACTTACAGTAACCCAGCTGGTAAACTGGCTGGGATTTTGGGAGTTGTGCGGCAAAACACTTGGGGACCCACGGGTTGGGAACCATTGTACTAGATGGACAAGTGACCTCAAAAGACAGCTTCATACAGTCTTTATATCATATGATATATTCATCCCAAGTTACCTCCCCCCTTTTTTTTCTTTCTTCTTCAGGTGTGTCTTTCCCTCACAGCAAAGCGTTTGGCCAGGAAAAATTGCGTAGTAAAGAACCTGGAGGCTGTAGAGACGCTGGGCTCGACTTCCGTCATTTGCTCTGACAAAACTGGAACCCTTACACAGAACCGTATGACAGTCTCCCATCTTTGGTTCGACAACCACATCCATACAGCAGACACGACAGAAGACCAGTCAGGTATAGAGCTATATTTAGTAAAGAGAGTCATGCCACAAGGACACAAGACAGAGCTGGCTGTTGAGGCAACATAAATCTTACTTACTTACTTACTTACTTACTTAATTACTTAGGTTATCCCTTGTTATACGAGTAGGATAGTCTTCCAAGATTAATGTACTGGTGGGTCCGCAGGTGACTGTGGAGCCCTATCCTTAATCTGCATCTTCGCCTGCAGTGAGGGCATTGTTTCCAGGTGGAAAGCGATCTCGTTCAGGGTTGGCTTGATGCACCTTCCTCTTGGCACGTTTCTCTCTTTTGCCCTCCATTTGTGCTTCTTCAAATTCTACAGCACTGCTGGTCACAACTGACCTCCAGCTGGAGCGCTCAAGGGCCAGGGCTTCCCAGTTCTCAGTGTCTATGCCAGGGTTTTTAAGGTTGGCTTTGAGCCCATCTTTAAATCTCTTTTCCTGCTCACCAACAATCCGTTTTCCATTCTTGAGTTTGGAGTAGAGCAACTGCTTTGGGAGACGGTGGTCGGGTGTCTGCACAACGTGGCTGGTCCAGCGGAGTTGATGCCGGAGGACCATCACTTCAATGCTGGTGGTCTTTGCTTCTTCCAGCACACTGATATTTTTCTGCTTGTCTTCCCAAAAGATTTGCTGGATTTTCCAGAAGCAGTGCTTATCTAATCGTTCCAGGAGTTGCATGTGACGTCTGTAGACAGTCCATGTCTCGCAGGCATATAGCAGAGTTGGAAGGACAATAGAATCATAAACAACATAAATCTATCTAAACTGGAAAAGGAGGGAGGCTTTTTATTTTACCCTAATACTCTAAAATAGTGGTTCTCAAACTGGGGTCTCCAGATGTTTGTGACCCACACCTCCCAGAAATCCCAGCCAATTTACCAGCTGTTAGGAATTCTGGGAATTGAAAACCAAAATCATCTGAGGAACCCAAGTTGAGAAACTCTGCTCTAAAAGCACCAGATCCTCCCTGATCTTGGAAGATAAATAAGGTCAACTCTGGTTAGTACCTGGATGCTAAGGAAGTAACTGGAGAAGCCACCTCTTGAGTATTCCTTACCTTAAAAAAAAAAACCTTATAAAATTAGTGAGGTTGCCATGAGGAGTGGCTTAAAGAGCTGGTCATGTTTAGCCTGCAGAAGAGAAGGTTGAGATGAGACATGATGAGGACCATGGATAAACATGTGAGAGGAAGTCATAGGTAGGAAGGAGCAGGCTTGTTTTCTGCTGCCCTGGAGACTAGGACAAGAACAATGGCTCAAACTACAGGAAAGGAGATTCCACCTGAACATTAGGAAGAACTTCCTGATTGTGAGAGCTGTTCAGCAGTGGAACTCTCTGCCCCAGTGTGGTGGAGGCTCCTTCTTTGGAGGCTTTTAAACAGAGGCTGGATGACCATCTGTTGGGGGTGCTTTGAATGTGTTTTTCCTGCTTCTTGACAGAGGGTTGGACTGGATGGTCCGCGAGGTCTCTCCAACTTTATGATTTTACGATTCTATATGTTGACAGGTGACATGAAGGTGTGTACACACATACTTTGATTCAGAGCCTTATTCCCTGAAGTATATAATGTATAACCTCAGAAATCACACACGGGCCATAGGCGGAACAAGACTTAGTGAGGATTTGAGCCACTTCTTTCTCTCTCATATTTTTGCCACCCCCTATCTCTCTGTTTCTGTCTCTGTCTTTGTCTGTCTCTCTCTCACTCCCCCCACCCCAACACTCTATTCATTCTCTTCACTAAAACTTGGGAGGAATATCTTGGTATTGAAAGCCCCCCCTCTTGTTGGAGATTTTTGAATTTTTAATTTTTTGAGGTTGGGGGACTGCATTTCCCTGAAGTGGTATTTGCATAGGAGCTACCCAAGCAGTCCAAGCTCTGTGAATACCCAGCACTATTCACAACTAATATACAAAAACTTGGGCAGAAATAATATGGCCCTTCAGATGTTGCTGGGCTGCTGTTCTTGGCATTCTTCACCACTGACTATATTCAGCGGGGATAAAAGGACTTGGTGCCCAATAAGTCTAGAGGGCTGTATGATTCTACGCTCTTTCATAGAACCTTGTTAGATACCACAATTCTCTCTTTCACTTCCAGGACAGAGTTTTGACCAGTCATCAGAGACATGGCGAGCTCTCTGCAAAGTGGTGAGCCTTTGTAATCGGGCCTTCTTCAAGTCAGGCCAGGATGATGTACCCATTCCAAAGGTAAGGAATATCCAAGGCATGTCTTCCTATCTTCAGACAATGCCTTTAGTTCCTTCTTTGGAGGCTTTTAAACAGAGGCGGGATGGCCATCTGTCAGGGGTGCTTTGAATACAATTTTCCTACTTCTTGGCAGGGGGTTGGACTGGATGGCCCATGAGATCTCTTCCAACTCTATGACTCTATGATTCTATAATTCCATGCTTTGGCTAAAGCTATTTAGACATGGATCTAGTCAACACCTGTCTGGGTGAACAAGACCCACAACCTTGACTTCAACTATCCATCCTCCCTGATGACCTAAATTGTGTCAGGTTTAAGATGCCTCTTATTATCTCCACCACCACCCCAAGAATGGGCATCATATTAATATATTTTGGAGTGCTTTTTTACATTTAGATGTCCTTCATGAACAGAAAAACTATACTTTGTTTGGTTTATCTATGTGACAGTGCATGGAGGCAGAAGTCTAGAAATTTTTACTGTGTTTACCCCATTCATGCAAAATACAAAAGGTCAGAATTTCAAGAGTAATCACCAGTGTCTTTGTTGTTGTCCTTTTCCAACCCACAGAGGATTGTGATTGGAGATGCCTCTGAGACTGCCCTCCTGAAATTTTCTGAAATCACCCTTGGCAATGTGATGGAGTACCGGGAGCGCTACAAAAAAGCCTGTGAGATCCCCTTCAACTCTACCAACAAGTTCCAGGTTAGCAGCTGCCACTCCCTTCCCTGGGTTCCATGAGCTGGACCAACTTCTGAGACCAATGGAAAGCCCTTTCACTGTAGATCATAATTCTCTGGAAAGGCAAAGAAAGGACAACTTGGGTCTTCTGAAGTAATTGCATCTGAACCATTGGCAGGGATGCTTGAGGAATTTGATTCTAGTCAATTTTCATACAAGCAAAGCCAATCTGCAGCTCACCATCTAAGATCCTGGCTGGAATATAAGGCCACTTTATTGCTACTCCGACCTGAATAACTGCATTGAATCAGTCAAATTTACATAAGCATGTGGTCACTATTGAGTAGTTGGCACAGTGTGCCTATTCCAGTTGGGAAAATGACCAGAAAGAATTGAACAAAATTATACTTTTCTGAATTTCTCAGAGCTAAACTAAAAAAAAAAAAAAGGTCCAGAGATAAAGTACATTTTAATATGTATTTTAGGATGAAATACATATATGGAAATGTACAGTAGAACATCCCAACTGAAGAGCACTTCGAGTTAAGAGCTGTCACTCGGCCTGAGTTTCACTTTGACAGAAGAGTTGCATTTTGAGTTAAGAGCTAGCACCAGAGGAAGCGCTAGTACGAGAGTACAGGGCTTTAGGGCTTCAAGGGAGCAGCCTCTGTGCCTCTTGGCCACTTTGGGAAATTTCTTTCTGCTTTGCTCTTCTCTGCTTTGAGGAACTTTGGGTTAGGTGATTTTGTGTGGTTTTTATTCCTGGTATGGTTATTTTGTGTGGGTTTTTTCCTTCATGAAGAGGGAGAGAGTGCAAGAGAGGGAAGGAGGGAGGCTGGAATGAGTACAGTATGAAGAAAATGATGCTTCTGCCTCTTCACTTTGTGCTTCATTGCCACAACATTGTGCTTCTACCATTTTAAAATTGATCTTTCTTTTTTATTGTTTCATGTGAATGTACATGTATTCATTCTTGGGAATTTGTAAAAATGTTATAACAAAATTGGGGGGGGGATTTGGGGGTCAAAATGGATTAATAGCATTTCAATGGGAAAATCCACTTTGAGATAAGAGTAATTTGAGTTAAGAGCTCAGTCATAGAGCAACTTGGACTCTTAAGTCAAGGTATCACTGTACTCTATGAGATAAAAAAAAGTTTTTGCTAGAAATCATGCTAAAAACTATTTGTTTAATAGCAATTACACTGATAAATAATAGTAACCAAACAATCGTATGGAAATGTTGTTTTTGGCATTGGGAGTTATAGCATTTATTCATGTGGAAATGGGATGGAATAGACCTGAATGGACACATGCAGTACTGTCAGAGAACAGAGGACAGCGTGTCAGTGAAAAGTCATATCTTTGAATATTTTTACAAATTATTTTTTGAAAGAATTCTTTGTAAATTGAAATTTAGTATAACAAGAAAAAGACGTTTTCTTTCCTCATTTTGCACTGGGAGTATGTTTTGGCTTTATGTTTTGAATAGAGTGAGTAACCAAAAAATGTATGTAGAGTCCTATCAGGTTGGGATTTTATCCTCTCCCTGGGCTTCAGTTTTGCACCACTCAGATGGCCATTAACACAAATTACCTATTTTTCTAATTACTTCTCATGCACACCCATGTTTTCATTTTATTGCAGCTCTCCATCCATGAGTTAGAAGACCCTCGAGACCAACGCTACTTGCTGGTGATGAAAGGTGCTCCTGAGCGAATTTTGGAACGCTGTTCCACCATCATGATCAAGGGTCAAGAGTTACCCCTTGATGAGCAATGGAAGGAAGCTTTCCAAACAGCTTACATGGACCTTGGTGGACTGGGAGAGCGTGTGCTTGGTAAGTGGAGCAGGGCCATGGCAAGGAGTGAACTGAGGACTCCACAGTGGGAAGTCTGTGTTCTGGCAGGGCTGGCTCAAGACTCGAAAGAGCTCTTGCTAAAGGAGGGAGCCCTCCTTTATTGAGTTGCCTTCTGGGCCTATTTGGGAACAGCAATACTCTTGTGAATAGCACTGAGCCAGCTTTTCAAATGCTTCATAATTCTTGGAAGGGAGGCTAACATCAGTAGCATTATAGGAAAATCTAAGAGACAGCCTCGAGTTCCCTTGCCCTTGTCCTGATGGTTAGTACAGTATGACTCCCATAACTTCAGGACTGATACTTGTAGTGTCACCTACATACATCTAACAGAATAAAACTTTCTAGATCTTTCAGGTATGGTATGCTTTTGCTAGATGTTACCTTTCTAGCAAGACTCTATGGTAACTTCCAGCAGAAGTAGTTTCAATACAGCTTGTTATTATCAATGGTTTCCTATTTCATGATAAGTCCAGGTACATATTCCTCATGGATATGGAAGTCATACTATACTATAACTGGTCCAGGGAATCAGCCACCAGGATTTCACAAGATGATGCCATTAAGCACCCACCATGTTTGTTTAGAGCATACCATTCAGGTAAAAAATACCATGCACAATACATGTGTCAAATAACACTTTGTTGGGCAAATGGGATTATTAAAAAAAAATCTTCCCCATGAATGTATAGCAGCATGACCCAGCACCAGTAGCCCAAAGTGATAAAAAGAACAAAAACACACAGACCAATTTTATCTCTTCCTTAGGAGTCTTTTCTTTGTAGTAAAATAATATGGTCACACTATTTTCAATAACAAGGTTTCCATAACACAAATAAAGTTCTTTATACTTCCTTCTTTGCTTCCACACTGGGCTACGTTCTCATGCAGATAAACAGCTTCACTCTCACAGAGCTTCTTCTCAAACTTATGGTGTGAGAAGAAGCTGGAGCTTCACACATGAGGCCTTCCACTTGGGGTTTCTTTCACCAAAGCTTCTCACACCAGGCCTTCTCAAATTGAGGCTTACTAACACTGAGACCTACCTCATACTGAGGCCTTTCTCCCACTGGGACCTGCTCAAATTACCTCAGACTGACACCTCTCTCACACTGAGGCAAACTAACACAGAGGCCTACTAAGCTAGAGGCACACCTGTTTATATTGAACTGCATCTTTTGCTGAGTCGTTGCATCCATTTAGTTCGTTCAGTGCTTATCTCACATTTTTGTAATTAAAATACCTAATTAATTTTTAATATTTCTGACACACTTCTCATGGTAATTATATTGGTTTGAGATTTGCCTATGAACTGGAGACAGGGGGCGGATCCTAAGATTCACATCCAGGTCCTGAGATCTGGTGACCCTAAGCAAGGGTAGCTGTGAACCCAGGGAGCTTGAGAGGAAAGGATACTAACACATAGCAGCACAAGTTCAATGGTGTACTATAGCAGCAACTCTGAATAGTAGCAGAAGAGTCTTGGTGGGATTTAAGGCAAGGAGTAGGTCTCACCCTGTTCTCTCTTTTGCCTACAGGATTCTGCCACATTTACCTTCCCCAAAATGAGTTCCCTCGTGGCTACAACTTTGACTGCGATGAAATGAACTTCCCCACCAGTGGGTTGTGCTTTGCAGGCCTCATCTCCATGATCGATCCACCTAGAGCCACGGTGC